CCTCTTCATAGAAGACGACAACATATTAGCTCCAAACACATGATGCCAGGGTAGACATTTATCTTTCCTAATTATGTTGTGTATTAAAATTTAGTACTTTGAGTTTGCTATATTTATGGTTAAAGGAGAAAGGTACACTGTAGAAAAACAACACCAACAAACGAGCCCATATATCTTTTTAAATTTAATTTGTCAGAAAGAAGTTACCTATGTACAATCACAGAATCATAGAATCATAGATTCATAGAACAGTTAGGGTAGGAAAGGACCTTAAGATCATCTAGTTCCAACTCCCCTGCCATGGGCAGGGACACCTCGCTCTAAACCATATCACCCAAGGCCTCGTCCAACAGGGCCTTGAACACTGCCAGGGATGGAGCATTCACAAACTACTCGGGCAACCCATTCCAATGCCTCACCACCCTACCAGGAAAGAATTTCCTTCTTATATCCAACCTAAACTTCCCCCGTTTAAGTTTTAACCCGTTACCCCTTGTCCTATCACTTCAGTCCCTAATGAACAGTCCCTCCCCAGCATCCCTATAGGCCCCCTTCAGATACTGGAAGGCTGCTATGAGGTTTCCATGCAGCCTTCTCTTCTCCAGGATGAAGAGCCCCATCTTTCTCAACCTGTCTTCATATGGGAGGTGCTCCAGTCCCCTGATCATCCTCATGGTCCTACACTGGACTTCTTCCAACATTTCCATGTCTTTCTTATGTTGAGGACACCAGAACTGCACGCAATACTCCAGAAGAAGTCTCACAAGAGCAAAGTAGAGGGGCAGAATCACCTCCTTAGACCTGCTGGTCACGCTCCTTTTGATGCAGCCTAGGATACGGTTGGCTTTCTGGGCTGCAAGCGCACACTGCTGGCTCATGTTCATTTTCTCATACATTAGCACCCCCAAGTCCTTCTCCACAGGGATGCTCTGAATCTCCTCTCTGCCCAGCCTGTAGCTGTGCCGAGGATTGCTCTGACCCAGGTGTAGGACCTTGCACTTGTCATGGTAAAACTTCATGACGCTGGCATCAGCCCACTTCACAAGCATGTCAAGGTCCCTCTGGATGGCATTCCTTCCCTCCAGCGTATCAACCGAACCACACAGCTTGGTGTCATCAGCAAACTTGCTGATGGTGCCCTCAATCCCACTGTCCATGTCAGCGATGAAGATGTTGAACAAGAGTGGCCTCAACACCGATCCCTGAGGGACACCACTCGTTACTGGTCTCCAGCCGGACACTGAGTCAACGACCACAACTCTTTGAGTGCAGTCATCCAGCCTGTTCTTTATCCACCGTGTGGTCCATGCATCAAATTGATGTCTCTCCAATGTAGAAACAAGGATGTCGTGTGGGACAGTGCTGAACGATTTGCACAAGTCCAGGCAGATGACATCTACTGCTCTACCTCTGTCCATCAGTTGTGTAGAACCATCATAGAGGGCCACCGAATTGGTCAGGCAGGATTTCCCCTTAGTGAAGCCATGCTGGCTGTCACCAAGCACCTTGTTGATTTTCACATGCCTTAGCATGCCTTCCAGGAGAATCTGCTCCAAGATTTTGCCATGTACAGAGGTGAGACTGACTGGTCTGTAATTCCCCGGGTCATCCATTTTCCCCTTCTTGAAAATGGGGGTTATATTTCCCTTTTTCCAGTCCTCGGGAACTTCAACTTACTGCCCTGATTTCTCAAATATGATGGCTAGCGGCTTAGAAACTTCATTCACCAGCTCTTTCAGGACCCGCGGATGGATTTCATCAGGACCCATGGACTTGTGCATGTTCAGATTTTTAAGATGGTCTCGAACCATTTCCTCTCCTACAGTGGGCCCAAAGTCTTCATTCTCACAGTCCCTGAGTCTACCTTCCAAGACTTGGGTGGTGTGGTCAGAGCCTTTGCCAGTGAAGACCAAGGTAAAGAAGTCATTCAGAACCTCAGCCTTCTCCAAATCCTGCGTAGCCAGTGATCCTGAGAGCTTCCTGAGGGAGCCTATGTTGTCCCTAGTCTGTTTTTTATTTGCTATGTACCTGTAGAATCCCTTCCTGTTATCCTTAATATCCCTAGCCAAGTTTAATTCTAACTGGGCCTTAGCTTTCCTAACCTGGTCCCTTGCTTCCTGGACAGCATCCCTGTATTCTTCCCAGGCCGCCTGTCCTTGCTTCCACTCTTTATAAGCCTCTTTTTTCATTTGAATTTTCCTCAGCAGCTCCTTATCCATTCAAGGAGGTCTCCTGGCCCTACTGCTGCACTTCCTTCACATTGGGATGCAACACTCCTGAGCTTGTAGCAGGTGATCCTTGAATATCATCCAAGAGTCTTGGGCCCCCCTTCCCTCTAGGGCTATATCCCATGGAATCTTACTAAGCAGGTTCCTGAAGAGGCCAGTCTGCTCTTTTGAAGTCCAGGGTAGTGAGCTTCCTGCATGCTCTTCTCACTGTCCTGAGGATCTCAAATTCAACCATCTCCCGATCGCTGCATCCAAGGCTGCCATGGGGCGCCACATTTCCAACGAGCCCTTCCCTGTTGGTGAGCACGAGGTCAAGCATGGCATCTCTCCTTGTGGGCTCCTCTATTACTTGCAGAAGGAAGTTGTCTTCCACACAATCGAGGAACCTCCTGGATTGCTTGTGCTGGGCCGTACCATCTTTCCAAAAGATGTCAGGGTGGTTGAAGTCCCCCATGAGAACAAGGGCCTGTGAGTGTGAGGCTTTTCCTATGTCTGTAGAGTGCTTCATCTGCAGGTTCCTCTTGATCAGGCAGTCTGTAACAGATCCCCACATTAATGTCTCACATAGCTGTGAGATACTCTCCGGCCTATCCCTAACATAAAGGGCAACTCCCCCTCCACGCCTGCCAGGCTTACCTTTTCTAAAGAGCCTGTAAACTTCCATTCCAATATTCCAGTCATAGGAGTCATCCCCCCATGTTTCTGCAGTGCCTATTATATCATACCCCCGTAGACGTGCAAACATCTCTAATTCCTCTTGTTTTTTCCCCATGCTACGGGCATTTGCATAGAGGCATCTGAGCCGAGCTCCAAATGAAGATGGCTCATTGGCTGGAGCCACTAGAATATATCTACATTGCTCCGAGCATTTATTAGAGGTGCTGGCAACTGACCGGGTGTGTTGAGATGGAATGATGCCCCCCTCCTCGAACACATCTAGTTTAAAGCCTCCTTGACCAGTCTAACAAGGCTCCTACCAAAACTGCTCTTCCCCTTCTTTATCAGACCAGCTCCACCAGCCCCTGGTAGATCTGGCCTACAAACTTGAGTCCCATGTTCAGGACACCCAAACCCCTGACTGTGACACCACCCTTTTAACCATTTTTTAACCTGGCTAATCCTCCTAGTTTTTTTTAGGTCTTCCCCTGTATTCTGTAGTGTTAATGAAAAGACTATCTGAGCTCCAGAGCCCCTAACCACGTCTCCCAGGGATCTGTAGTCCTTCTTTATGTTCTCCTGGCTACTGCTATCCATATCACTAGCACCCACATGGATCACTAGAAGTAGGTAATAGTCAGTGGGACTTACTAGACCAGGCAGCATCTCTGCCGCATCCCTGATCTGTGCCCCTGGTAGGCAACACACCTCCCTTGAGATCACGTCAGGCTGACAGATGAGTGCTTCTGTCCCTTTCAAAGTAGAGTCCCCTACTACTACGACCTGCCGCTTTTTCCTGGCAGCACCAGTAGAGATCTTCTTTACCAGTGCATCTGTTGGCTGTTTCTGGTGCGAGTGCATTTCCTCATTAGCCTCTTGCAGGACAGTAAAGCTGTTCTGTGTGGGGACAATAGATTTAGGAGGAAGCCCCTTGCTTTTAATTGTCCTTTTCCTCCTTTTTCCGTTTGTTTTTTTTGTCACTAATTCCCAACTTCCCAGGTTAATGGCCTCCTTCTTTCCTTCATGAGCTAGAGTTTAAGCTTGAGGCCCCTGCTCAGTTTGGGCCTGGAGCAAGCATTTCTGCTTCCTCTCAGCTACCCTGACATCTTGCACCCTATTAATAGCATCCTGCAGCTCAGCCACCTGCTGCAGGAGGACCTCCACCAGGGAGCACTGAGTGCAGCCCTGCCCACTGTGCACCTTTCCCTCACAAGGACAGCGCAGGCACTCTCTAAGCTCCAAGCTCTGCACTGCAGCCTCCCCTGTCATTGGCCCTGGGTGCCTACGCTGGCTACCACTGGGGCAGCCAGAGCAGAGCTCCCAGACCGAGCCCTGGTCACATGGCGAGTGCTCAGCATCCCGCGTGAACTGCCTTGACCCGCTCTGTTCGTCGCGTTCCTGGTCGCTCACGCTCCCTGGACCAGGTTTTTAACCGCTCAGGGTTGGTGCCGCTCCTCCTGGCTCCGCCCCCTGTGAGTCAGCTGCTCAACGTCAGCTGAGCTGCTGGCTCCTGGGCAAGTCCTGTGGAGGACTTGAGGCTCCTTCGGTGGCTGTTGCCGCTCTGAGTTGAGGCTCCTGGATGCTGATCTTCCCCCCAGCTCCGGTGTTGAGGGTGTCCTCTCTCGAGCTACTCACCTCAGCTACTCGCAATAAGTGTACATTGTAATAATTCTTTTAATAGAAAGCCATTCAAACCTAATATAGTAATTGGCTGCATAGCAGATTCGACATTATTGCCCATTTTAAGAAGGAAAACATATATTTTCAATAAATTTTGGCTGACTTGGATATTAAACACTCCTTTAAAACCAGTGGACTGGAAAAAACTTTTCAGATAGTTTAGCTGAATATTTCCTACCATTTCAGTACAACAAATCACAATATTGACAGTTTAATAAAAAAATAAAAACAAAACATGTATCTGAAGCATCCAATAAAACAAGGGCATTAAATGAAATAAAAATGTTGCATTTCCCCATTTTTGTATTCTCAACAGTGATTTCATAAAGATATTTTATTAAAAATTGTTAGTACTTTGTGACTTTGTTTCATACTTGTGACAAGGCCTGAGTTGGTGGGGAATGGAACAAGGAAAAAAAAAGAAAGCTCATTCAATTAGTTTGCAATAATTTTCAGCCATTTATTTTGTTTTGTAAAAAGGCGTTATTACAACTGATCACAAACAGGAGAAATCCTGGGTATTTTACAGCTATAGGTACAGGAGTTAAATATTCAAGCTTGTGATGAAAAGCGGCAACGTGGTTGCAGTGTACAACGTAAAGAAATAGCTTTGGAAAGTAAGATGAAGTCCTTGAGAACTCTTTACTAAGAAAACGAAACAAACTCTTAATTCTTTCCTGAAATATGACTACAGGTCAGTGTTTAAAAATTCATTTAAAAACATAAATTGAAATGTGCTCAGCCTAAAAACAGTCTTATAAGATCCAGTCTGAATGGGGCAGTGTTGAGGTCCCAGTAAAAGTAAACATTTTCCATTTCTTAAAGAGGGGAAAAGAAAAAGGAAAAGAAGTGCCACATGTGCAGCATAAACTTTAAATACAAAAATATTTTTCAATTGTTGGGATAATAGATAATGCATTCTGGAAAGAAGTGACAATACTGCTACTGACAGAATATCCAGCCCATGTCTTTCAAGTCATGTAAGGCTTTCATGTCACTGTGTATCTTATTGCATATGGCTAAAAGAAGATCAAAAAAATGGCAGTCTTTGTTAAGTTCTCTGGCTACTCCATGTATGTTCAGGTGTACTTTTATGATCTGACGAGTGCTCAAATGGAGATCTGTGTCCTAAAGGAGACCTTGAACCATAAGGAGACCTCTGACCTAATGGTGACTTTGGGCCACTACCAGAAGCTCTGTGGTCCATTTGCCAGTCTAAGTGGTACCTATAATCTCTGGAAAATTTATGATGGCTGTACTCTGAAGTGGAACGGTGATCTGAAAGTATCCTGTGGTCTGAATGGGAACGGTGATCTGAATGAGGCCGACTGTCTTTTAAATTTCCTTCCAGGTTTGACCTGTGATCTCTGCTCCTGTGGTCATCCAACTTTCTATGCTTACTATCACTATAGTATCTGAAAAGATTTACTTATATTAGTATGACTGAACACATAGTAAGAACTACAATTATGTCAATTAAGTAAAATTGCATTACAGAAATTTATTTGCAATTCTGCATTACTCAGAAATGGTACTCTGGTACTTACTACAAGCATACTGCAAAACTAGGAAGGGAATTCTTAACAGATTTTACAATTGCTGAAGCAATTTACCTGCTGTCTTGTTTATAGTGATCCCAGTCTCTGTGGTCTTTTCCATTGCTGAAGGATGAATAGGACCTTTTCCTAGAGTCACTTTTCTTATGAGCATCTTGCTGATGCCTGTCCTTATGATGATCATGGTATTGTGGCAAAGGTCTATCAGAAGAATAACTGTCCCTGCTGCTGTCATCATGGTTTGTATTTTCTTTCAGTCTTTCAACACCTGTTTAATAAAGCAGAGGTTATAAGGAAGTCTCATACACAATACATTTTTTTTCTTTACCAATTCAAACAGCACTTCTACCCGTCAGATTTAAAGCAATGTGAAAGCGGAATTATAATTTGAGAAAAACAATATCTAAATAATAGAAAGATGGATGCACTAATGTGAGTGAACTGAATGAAACCTCAGAAGTAAATAGAAGGCAAGCAAGCTAGAAATATAGATATGTAGGGTTGAAACACTATAATTTTCCACCTTACAAACTGGAGAGGTCCAAATGAGCAGTGAATAGAGACCAGGTGCTCTAGTAGAGCAATTTTAAACAGAATAGTAGGAAGTTCCTCTCTAAGGAGAGATAGTCCTCGCATCAGTTTTAGAGGTACACCTTGTTGATGAAAGGTTTTTAGTGGCATTACTAAAATACATTATACTAATTTTAAACCCATGATAACATACTCAAGGTTTTACATAACATGATATACAACCAAGTATTATAAGAAGGCAAGTGTGGGAGCATAGAAAAACAGTATTATTGTCAACAGTAAAAGACATCCCATATAAATGGTTGCTAACCATGTCATCAGGGAATATCTTTCTTATGATATGGTGACATTACAACTGCTACAAAAAGGTACAGAACCTCCAAGAAGTGTTGAGTTGGCCATTCTCTCTCATCAAAATTAAATACAAAAAAAAGAATGGCCAAATAACTTTCTACTAAAATCAGTAAGTACCAAGCTCAATCTGTGCTCAGCTGTATTTCATCAGCAAACGAGTGAAATTACACTAAGTCGAGCTATCCCTATGATATTCAGCAATATGGGAGTTCTAGGAGACAGTTTTAAGCTTCTTTCATTTTCCATACCATCATTTAAGATATCCAGCACAATAATGTGCTCAAAATTTCTTACCTGGATTTCTAATTAGACATGTACTCACATTGCTGCTAATATTCTGGTCACTGTGTTGCTAAAAGAGACAAATATGAAAATTGTCATTGATAAATCCCAAAGTTGCATCTGAATTCTTCAGAAAATGTCCTAAGAAACAGACTAGTTTACTATACAGTAGAATACACTTCAAATGTACTGAGTGTACTCAATCATAGAATCATAGAATCATAGAATAGTTAGGGTTGGAAAGGACCTTAAGATCATCAAGTTCCAACCCCCCTGCCATGGGCAGGGACACCTCGCTCTAAACCATATTACCCAAGGCCTCGTCCAACAGGGCCTTGAACACTGCCAGGGATGGAGCATTCACAACCTCCCTGGACAACCTATTCCAGTGCCTCACTACCCTAACAGGAAAGAATGTCCTCCTTATATGCAATCTAAACTTCCCCTGTTTAAGTTTTAACCCATTACCCCTTGTCCTACCACTACAGTCTCTAATGAAGAGTCCACCCCCAGCATCCCTATATGCCCCCTTCAGATACTGGAAGGCTGCTATGAGGTCTCCACGCAGCCTTCTCTTCTCCAGGCTGAACAGCCCCAACTTTCTCACAATTATAAACTTAAAATATATATTTGTATATTTAGAGAGCTTGAAAGTGTTACCCGAGATTCTTGACGTTTTTTGATTGCATGTTTATACAGCTTGTGCAGCTTTCTGGCATCAAATTCTGTAAACTTAGAGACAAAAATCCACAAGTTTCTGAGGAAAAAGAAAAGAGAGGTTATAATTCTTCCATATATTAGTTTTTATTGTATTATACAACAGAACATGGACTTAACTATTTCAACAGTACTTCAGTAAACTGAAATTATTATAAAGTCTGATACACTGAATATTACTGTAAGAGACTGAACTGAGATCACATTCCACTGTCTGTTGTCTCAAAGATTGCTGTGTGAGGAACTGGGATAAGACTCCACCATCCATTATTGGTGTGAGTAACTGAGATCACATTCCACTGTCCATTGTGTGCGATCAACCAGGAATGTGAAGTATGTACTTCCCCCTAACACATAATAAAAGGGGACAAAGGTAATCACCAGAGCAGCCACTCACTAAGGATGACTATGGATCCTCAGGACACCACTGGATCCATGGTTTTGACTATCTCTCTGCACTATCTGTTCCAAATGCTTGCTTAATTTCTATCCTTTTTTCCAAACTGTCCTATTGCTAGTAAATAATTCTATTTTTAATAATAATATTTTTATAATAGTTATCTTTTTATAATAAACAAATTGACTGATTGCGGTACTTGACCTCGTTTGTGCCTTAATTTCACTCTGGGGATCATGAACAAATTATTTCTGACACTTAGTTTTATCCAGTCAGACCTTGACAATTACCTAGCTGCACAGCAAATAGTACTTAGCTGTATTTCAAGCATTTGAGAAATTAATTCCTTTAATAATTTGTCATTTTCTAATATTTATTACAATGACTGCAGAATGCAAAGTGCATGAAAAGTTGCATTCTGTTAATAGAATTATTTGTGCAATTGCATAAAAACATAATGTTCAATTTCTTGTGCAATTCTTTTGAGAGTTTGAAATATGACAGAAAACTTGAGTACAACTCAGTAAAGATTCTTCCAAACTTGAAATCTTGAAGTGTATGAAATTTGACCTACATTCCTCATTTCCTAGATATCAGTGCCAGGATTTTTCTACAGAATTCCAAAGCCTGGTCAAAGCATTTGAAACCAAATGAGAAATCTGAAAGAGGATGGAAATAGCCTGACAAAACTTTTATCCTAATCTATGCTATGAAAGAAGAAATGAAAAAAAAATCAACTCTTAAAGACAATACCAGATCTAAGGTCTAGAATTCTTTTAGCAAAGTTTAAAGCTGGAGTGCTTAAAAGACTACAGAATACTACTAAATAGGGCTTACAATCAAACTGTACTTTGGGATGTGCAGTCTCCAGAACCCCACAGCACCTAAGAAAGCTTATGTTTCTTTCTTATTAGTTGGTGAAGACATTGCTGTTATCTTGTTGATCACATCTGTGGGGATTTGGTGATGTCTATCTTGCCATTTTATCCCCCAAATTTTCCATTATGATTTTTATGGCAAAAATGGCTTTCAGCAGGATTTGGATTATTTTCCTCCCTTAATCAAAACTTCTTTCGCTGTATTGCCTGACACGATAATGTCATCAATGTATTGCAGGTGTTCTGGAGCTTGCCCCTGTTCCAATGCGGTCTGGACCAGTCCATGGCAAATTGTAGGGCTGTGTTTCCAGCCCTGGGGCAGACACCCCTCCAAGTAAAAGCAAACTGTGGCCTGCACTCTGTTGCCAAAGGAATTGAGAAAAATGTATTGGTAATAACAATCGTGGCATATCACTTGGCTGCCTTTGACTCCAGTTCATACTGAAGTTCTAGCATGTCTAGTATTGCAGCACTCAATGGTGGCGACTTCATTCAGGCCATGATAGTTATTGTTAGTCTCCACTCTCCATTAGACTTCTGCACTGGCCATATGGGGCTATTAATGGGTGAGCGGGTCCTGCTGATCCCTCCCTGACTCCCCAGTCTATGGATCAGCTGATGGATGGGAATCGGAGAGTCTCTGTTGGTGCAATATTGCCGCCGGTGCACTGTTGTGGTCGCAATTAGCACTTGTTGTTCTTCAACCTTCAGCAACCCCACAACAGAAGGATCTTCTGAGAGACCAGGCAAGGTGGACAGCTGCTGAGTTTCCTCAGTCTCCAAAGCAGCAATACCAAAAGCCCACCAGTACCCTTTTGGGTCTTTGAAGTACCCTCTCCTGAGGTAGTCTATGCCGAGGATGCATGTAGCCTGTGGACCAGTCACAGTGGGGTGCTTTTCCCACTTACTCCCAGTCAGGCTGATTTCAGCTTTCAGTACAGTCAACTCTTGGGATCCTCCTGTCACTCCAGAAATATAGATGGGTTCCACCCCTTGACAGCTCGATGGCATCAGGGTACACTGTGCACCAGTATCTACTAGAGCCTTATACTTCTGTGGGACTGATGTGCCAGGCCATCTGACCCACACAGTCCAGTAAATCTGACTGTCCCTTACCTCTGCCTAGCTGGAGGCAGGTCCCCTCTAATAGTCATTACCACATTGGTCACTTACATCTTCTTGACAGGGATTAGTCTTTATCACAGGAGTAAAATCAACACTTCCACTCCATCTGGGAAACTGCTCACCAGAGACTGAAGATGCAGCTTTCATGGGATGATCAGCCTCAACCTTTGTTCTCCTCTTCAGTTCATGCACCCATTCCTCCAGACCTGAGGTAGGTTTTCCATCCCACCTTGTCATGTCTTCTCTGTGATCCTGCAGGTTAAACCATAAGGTGGCCCGTGTCACCTACCTCCTGTATCTTCTCTCTCGAAAAGTAGGACCCCTTTTGTTAATAGCTGAAACGTGTGTTGGTAGATGTGAGGAGCTGGATTGATCAGATAGATTGTCTCTCAATTGTTTGAGATCCTGGGACAGTTTTTCTACAGCTGAGATGATGGAAGGGGTGAGATTGTCTTCGAAATCTCAGAGTTGATGAAGCATTTCATCCACTGGTAGTGGTACTATGTCATTCCAGGTTACTGTTGCCAATGAATGGACATATGATGACGGTGCATTCCGTGTAAGTTTTCGCCACATGGGACATGTACATTCGACTTCATCTGAATCTATGGGTATATCCCCGTTATTCAGCTTGATGTGATAGATCATCTCTACAACGGCTGATTCCCTCAGAGACTGGATGCCTTTGTCTATAGTAGTCCACTTGGCCAAACGACACATAACATCGTCCTTGTATGGAAACCTTTCTTTTATAGCTGCCAAGAGCTGCCACGAGCTGCCACCCAAGGCTGAGGGACTGTTTTCTCTTGCACTTGAGTTGTCGATTCCCCCTTCTCTAGCAAAGTGATCCCAGCTGCTTGGCTTCCCTACCTTCTAGTTCGTGACTTGGCTCCATTGTCCCAGCATTGGAACAACCATGTGATGATGTGCTCCCCTGGTTGACGGGTAAAATCTTTTCACATATTCCGTAGCTCGGTTGAGGTCTGAGGTCTAGAAGTCACTTCTTCTTCTTTTTTTTTGTCATGTGATGATGATTCCTGATCAGATGCTGTCCCGGGTGGCAAGTACATTGTTTCTTCACCTTGCTTCATCTTTCTTGCCTCTTTTTTGTTTTTTCTCTGGTGTACAGGGGCAACCAATATTGGTATGAATTGGTCCTCTGGTTTAGGTGCAGTGATTATCACTGTGGTTTGAGTAGCGACTGTACTTGTTGCTGGGGATGGTGTAGCTTCTGTGCTTGGATCTGGAGTAGCTGCACTGTCTGTTGCGGTCAAAGTTTGGGTAGCTACTGTACTTGTTGCTGGGGTTGGTGTAACTGCTGTACTTGGAGCTGGAGTAGGTGCGCTGACTGTTTCTTTGCCCTCAGATCCAGGGACATTTTTTTTCCTTTTGAAGGTGCTGGAAAGCATTGAACAAGGCCCTGTAAGCATAGGCCTTGGATTTTGGATTTGATTTTGCACTTGTTCAGTGGTGAAATTCCAAAGCACTGAAGGAGCCCACTGACCTAGATACTTGCCCATACTATCCCACACACCCTGCCACTAATGGCTGTCCATCCTTGAGGAAAATCTCTTGGTCCTCCTATATCGTCGCTTAACCCCAGTCAAGACCCAAACCAGACTCTGCTTAATTCTCAGGACCAGACAAAATGTTCGTGGGCAAAACACACTCTGTATGTGTGCCAACATGGTGATCTCCATCACAATCAGGAAACAGGTCTCAAGGGTATGTAAAGGCCATTCAAAAACATCAAAACTCTCAAATGATGCTGCAAACGGTCTTGGGGGGTGGGGGCTGGGAGGGTAAGAGAATTTCTCCTTCACAGGTTGACCACCCGAGAAGGAGAAAAAAATGTGCAATTGCTAAGCACTTCTATTATATACCTCCCAAAGTATAGAGGTGGTAACCACACTGGGAACATAAACCATATCAGTTTCATGATCAATGATTCTATTGTATTACAAGTCATTACCATAAAGTACAATGAGACAAGAACCTAAGCCCAAGCCCCCCACCTGAGAAACACTAACACAGCAAATACAAGCTGCAAGTAAGGTACAACATACTGAAACTGTGAGATCAGGAACAACAACTTTGAGAGCCAATAAATCAGCATTATGATGAGTGACTATTAATCTGAAACAATGAATGCTTATCACAGATATGATTAGAAACACTGTTCAGATCTATTGTTACCTCAACCTTTCATGCTCCACATTGGGCACCAAAAAAAGAACTGTCATTGTTAAAGCCCAGCTGGTAACTCAGAACCACATGGCTGCTCATTCACTTCCCGCTTTTCTTCCTTCCTCCACTAAAGGAGGGATGGGGAGGAGATTTGAAAGAATGTAACTCCCACGGGTTGAGATAAGACCAGTCCAGTAACTAAGGCATAATACAAAACCACTACTACTACTGCCAATAATAATAATAATGACAAGGGAAATAACAAGGGGAGAGAATACAATTGCTCACCACACGCCAACCACTACCCAGTCTGACCCGAGCAGTGATCTGGCCTTTCAGGTAACTCCCTAAGTTTATATAATGGGGCATGACGTGCTGTGGTATGGAATATCGCTTTGGCTAGCTTGGGGTACCATTATCGCCCCATGTTGGGTGCCAAAAAGAACTGTTGTGGTTTAATTGCAGTCAGTAACCCACGCAGCCCACTTGCTCACTCCCCCCATTTCTCCACCCACGCCCCACTCCCAGAGGGATGGGGAGGAGAACTGAAACTCCCATGGGCTGAGATAAGAACAGCCCAGTAACTAAAGTATAACACAAACCCACTACTGCTACTTCCAGTAATAATAATGATAAGGGAATTAACAAGGGAAGAGCATAAAATACCACACGTCAATACCCAGCCCAACCAAGCAGTGAACTAGCCCTTCCAGGTAACTCTCAGTTACATCTTGGGCATGACATGCTGTGGTATGGAATACCTCTTTGGCTACTTTGGGTCAGGTTTCCTGTCTCTGCTTCCTCCCAGTTTCCCCTCTTCCCTGGCAGAGCACGAGACTCACAAAGTCCTTGGTCAGACTAAACATTTGAGCAGTAACTAAAAACATCGGTATTATCAGCGCTGTTCCCAGGCCGAAAGTCAAAAGCACAGCTCTGCACCAGCTACTAAGAAGAAGAATAAATGACTGCTACTCCCGAACCCAGGACAAAACATTATAGCTTTGGCCTAGAGGTTTGCAAAATTTGACACAACCAGCCAATGGTGTGACAATGACATCTGCATAAGAAATATAAAATGAAAACCTTTACTAAATTCTATGTCTTATTAGAAAGATGAAATACATATTTTAATAATATTTATATGGTACTGTAGCAGTATTATGAGTTAATATTATAGCTGCTGTACTATGGATTTCCACATTAAAAAAAATATGTTTATCAAGGTGTCTTTAAGACATGGATATTGTTTTTGTATTTCAGTCCATCCTAATATTTTGAAGTAAAGCAAGTACAAACAGCGGAAATATTCTATGTTAAAAACAGTCTGCAAGGAAATTAAGCATTTCACTGTCATATATAGAAGTGCAGGGTAGATTTGTAACCATAGAGGTTTAAAGTGCACATTATCATAAAACTAACTCAAGCTGAATTAAGAACATACCAACAAAATATAACAAGTTTATAAACCAACATTTTCCTTGTTTCTTTCTGAAGTTATCACCTCACAAATGCACAAGAACACTTAAAACTCTTCTTTCATTTTAAAATAATATATCTCTGTGTATGGTATGCTAAATGTTTTGTTATAAAGACATAGTTAATGTCTGTTTGCATTTTAGAGTATATTTTTAAAAATAATAAAGGATTTTGCACCTCAAAATCATTCAAGCTTCAACACACAAATTTATAATGGCATATTTTTAGCATGAATAAAAACCCAAAACAAAACAAACTTCAAAGCTGAAAAAGCCAGATTCTTTAATGATAAATACTCTTTTCCACAAAACATTAAATATACTCTAAATACAGTTATTTTCTGTTTGCTTTTGGTTTTAAGATGACTCCACCTACTGGACAAAATGCATTGCTATACAAGTATGAAAAAGTGAATCCATTAAAAGGTGGAGCTATCTTTTTATAAGTCCTTATTTAATACAACAGAAAAATACAAGGAAGGAGAAGAAGAAACAAGAGAAATAATTTTAAAATATTCTGCTTAATAGAAGCTATTATGGATTTTCCTTTTTCAAGAAAAATAATACAGAATAACTTACTTCCTCCATTGTTTAATTTGTTCAGGATTTGTGTACTCCTTTAGACATTCAGTAATGTGGTCCCCAATTTTTATTAGGCACTGTCTAGTATGCTCAAGCTGTTCCCTTTCAGAAAGGCCTTTCTCTGGTCTATCCAGTTGCTTCAATGCTGCTTTGACAGGCCTCATTCTTTCTTTGCACTATAAAATATAAGGAATACTTTAATTCAAAGGAAAACAAATTATAATAAAAACTGTAAAACATGACCCACTCTTACTGTGCTATTTATACAGGCAAAGACAGTACTGTTGTAAGCCAAATGCAAAACAAGTCTTTGCTAACAGCTCTTTTAATTGTACTACAAGGTTACAGTTAGAAAAATTAGCAATTTAAATCCAGTTGAAAATTCACTCCTATATGAAAGCATTAGATTGTATGCAAGAACTATAAAAGATTTAAGAAAGCACTACTTTAATATAAAAGATTTTCTCAGGGAAAGGAATTACTATAGGTTTTACAATCATGGCTTCAATTTTCAACACAAGTATATAGGGCAAGACTTATTTCACTTTTCAGGATATTGAAAGTGATACAAAATCAGTGTAAGGATTAAGTATGAGAATATTAAATATATTTTAAGTAGATTGTTGTTGTTTAAATGAAGCTGGCAACTGAGTACTGTGCAGCTGCTCATTCACCCCCTGCACTTCCCCCCTCCCTTTGTGGGATGGGGAGGAGAACTGAAATAATTTAAAACATGCAGACTGAGATAAGAACAGTTTAATAATTAAAGTGCAATATACTACTACTACTACTAATGAAAATAACAAGGGGAGAGAATCTAAAGCTAAAAGGGGAAAGGAAAAAAACCCAATAAGCAGCAGTGTGTTATTGGCATAAAAACCAATAACCATCGGTGTGTTATCAGCATTATTTTCAGACTAAAGCCAAAACACAGCACTGTACCAGCTAATAGGAAGAAAATTAACCTTATCACAGCACAAACCAGGAGAGTGTCCACCCCTTACTCCATAGCAGTCATGTCAGGCCAGGTCTCACACTTTCCACAATCACCTTTCCTGTCTTTAGACAGAGATATACGTACACACACAGATAACATTCCCTTAGTCTATGGAACATCCCTACAAAAGTTCGCTGCTTTCATTCAGTCCACAACTTGGGGCTCCATCTGCAGTAAAAGTCTTTCTGGGCAGAAAAGATGGATGGTGTGTGGTGCTGGATTGTTGCATGCTAAAGCTTGTTCCAATTCCATCACCGCTGCATTTGTCCAGTTTTGTCAAAGTTCATTCTTCATTAATATAGTGATCAAAAGGGAGTCAGGTTCAGATACTCAAATCCAGAGTGGTGGAGATGGGTGCATAGCCACCATGGAAGCGACAATATCCAATGTCATACAGCAGTATACAGTCCAGTTCACTGGCTATTTTCACCCTAGATTAAATCCCACATTGGACTTAGCCATCCTCCTGCATTAACCACCAAGTGCAACCAGGTCTTTGAGTAAAAGCAATCCATAAGTGGGTCTGCCTTTGCCCAAGGCAGGAATAAGCCTGACTCTTTTCTTCAGCAGATTCTTTGCATACACTAGAGGAACTTTACCCCCTCCCCTAAGGTATGCAAAAGTTTTGATTGAGCGGTGTCAGAACTGTTGACATATCCCCTAGTGTTGACTTTTGCTAAATGTGTATTCCAGTGTTTGAAAGTCCCACCACACATTGCTCTCAGTGTAGTTTTTAACAGCCCATTGCACAATTTGATTTTCCCAGAGGCTGGTGCAAGATAGGGGATTGGATATAACCACTCAAGGCCATGCTCTTTGGCCCAAGCGTCCATGAGGTTATTCTGGAAATGAGTCCCATTATCTGACTCAATTCTTTCTGGGGTGCCATGTCACCATAAGACTTGTTTCTCAAGGCCCAGGATAGTGTTCCGGGCAGTGGCGTAGGGCACAGCGTATGTTTCCAGCAACCTGGTGGTTGCTTCCACCATGGTAAGCACATGGTACTTGCCTTGGTGGGTTGGTGGGAGTGTGATATAGTCAATCTGCCAGGCCTCCCCATATTTGTTCTTCAGCCATTGTCCTCCATACCAGAGAGGCTTTAGCTGCTCGGCTTGCTTAATTGCAGCACGCTTCAAATTCATGAATAACCTAGCCAATAGTGTCCATTGTTAAGTCCACCCCTCGATCACAGGCCCATCTGTATGTTGCATCTCTGCCCTGATGGCCTGAAGTGTCATGGGCCCACAGGGCTAAAAATATTTCACCCTTATGTTGCCAATTTAAATCCATCTGAGCCACTTCAATCTTAGCAGCCGGATCCAGCTGTTGGTTGTTCTGATGTCCCTCAGTGGCCCAACTCTTGGGTACATCCATGTGGCATACATTCACCACCAGGTTCTGCACCGGGGCAGTGATATCTTGCCACAGTGCAGAAGCCCAGATGGGTTTACCTCTGCATTGCCAGTTCCTCTGATTCCATTGCTGCAACCACCCCCACAGGGCATTTGCCACCATCCATGAGCTGGTATAGAGATAAAGCACTGGCCATTTTTCTCATTCAGCAATCTCCAAGGCCAGCTGGATGGCTTTCACCTTGGCAAACTGACTCAATTCACCCTCTCCTTCAGCAGTTTCTGCAACTTGTCATAGGGGACTCCATACAGCCACATTTTGTCTCTTATATTTTCCTACAATATGGCAGGACCCATCAGTAATCAAGGCACATTGCTTCTAACTTTCTGTCAGTTTGTTGTGCAGTGAGGCCTCCTCAGCAAGTGTCACCTCCTCCTCTGGTAACATTCTATAAGCTTTGCCTTCTGGCCAGTCCATAGGAGCTATGGTGCCATGCCAGTCACTTCCAAAGCTTCTCAAACCCCTTCATATTCTGCCAATATATCTTTTCAGTTGGAATATAGTGGGCCATCCTCTGTATCTCCAGCTCCAAAGACCTAGAGTCTCCCTTGGTGCTTTCTGCCAGAAGCTCCAGATAGGACCATTCTCCCTAGCTGCAGTGTAGAGCATATTTTTCACATCTTGAACTGTCAGGAACTTTCCAAGGGCTACTGCATGAACTATCTCTCAATTCATTTTTTCAAAGGCCTGTTATTACTCAGTACCCCATTTGAAACTGTTCTTCTTCTGTCAGGTTATAGAGAGGGCTTACAATCAGACTGTAATTTGGGATGCGCATTAACCAGAACCCCCCAATACCTAAGAAAGCTTGTGTTTCTTTCATATTAGTTGGTGGAGACATTGCTGTTATTTTGTTGATCACAGCTACTGGGATCTGATGTTGTCCATCTTGTCATTTTCTTAGTAAAAACTGGATGACCTGTGCAGGTCCCCTGACATTACTTTGTTTTATAGAAAAAATGGCTTTCAGAAGCATTTGGATTATTTTATTCTCTTTCTCAAAAACTTCAGCTGTATCACCTCACACAATGATGTCAACAAGTTATTGCACATATTCCGGAGCTTCCCCCTGAGTACTGAACACCCCTCCAAGTAAAAGCAAAATATGGCCAAATGGATTGAGAAAAATGAATTGGCGATATCACTTGTGGCATACCCCTTAGCTGCCTTTGACTCCAGTTCATACTGAAGTTCTAGAAAGTCTGGTACAGCAGCACTCAGCAGTGGCATGACTTCATTCAGGCCACAACAGTCTACTGTTAGTCTCCATTTGACTTTTGCACTGGCCATATGGGGCTATTAAAGGGTGAGGAGGTCCTGCTGATCACTACTTGGCTCTCCTGTCTACAGATCAGCTTATGGAAGCAAATCAGGAAGTCTTGGTTGGTGCGATATTGCCACCAGTGCACTGCTGTGTTCTTTGACCTTCAGGAACCCAACAACAGAAGGGTCCTTTGAGAGACTATGCAATGTGGACAGCTGCTTAATTTCCTCCATCTCCAAGGCAGCTATACCAAAAGCACATTGATACCCTTTTGGGTCTTTGAAGTACCCTTTCCTGAAATAATCTCTCCTGAAAGTATAAAGAATGTAAAGAACTGAAAACCTGCAGATTGAGATAAGAACAGTTTAATAAGTAAAATAAAATACAGTGATAATAGAAAGAATACCAATAATGACAACAATGACAGTAGTAGGAAAAAAAAAAGAAATGAAAGCTCAGAAATCACAAGTAATGCACAATACAGTTGCTCACCACTCACCAACCGATACCCAGCCTGACCCGAGCAGTGATCACTCCCTTCCACATAACATTCCCTAATTTATATACTGAGCATGATGTGCCACAGTATGGAATATCCCTTTGACTAATTTGGGTCAGGTGTCTTGTCTCTGCTTCCTCTGGGCTTCTTGTGTCCCTCCTCGCTGGCAGAGCATGACAGACTTGAAAAGTCTTTGATCAGGGCAAGTGCTACACAGCAACAATTAAAACATCAGTGTGTTATCAGCATTATTCCCAGACTAAAGCCAAGACACGGCACTGTACCAGCTACAAAAAATAAAATTAACTCTATTGCAGCTGAAACCAGGACAGTATCTATCTCTTATTCCATATCATTGACGTCATGCCAGAAAACCATCAACTTTCCTGCCTTTTGATAGATACATATATAAACATACAGATATTTCCTTAGTCCATGGACTATCCCTAATAAAGTACGTTGAGCACATATAGTCCATGATCTCAGGCTCCATCTATTATAACAGTCTTTCAGGGCAGGAAAGGTGGTGTGAGGTGCTGGATTGTTGCATGCTGAACCCAGTTCTGATTCCATTACCACTGTGCTTGTACAGTTTAATTAAAGTTCATTCTTTAATATGGAGATAAAAAAGGAGCCGAGTTCAGATCCTTAAATCCAGAGTAGGAAAAAAGGGCTTTGTGAGGTGCTGACTGTGGTGATGGACATAGAGCCACAACAGACATATAGCCAAAGTGACAATATGTAGTAATACAAAGTAATTAACATCACATAGTTAAATTCAGTGGCTATTTTCACGTAAATCAAATCCCCTTAAAGTATATACTGGCCTTCTTCATCCTCCTGCATTACTCAAGTAACACCCAGGTCCCTGAGCAAAAGCAATCCCACCAATGGGTTTGCCTTTGCCTGAAGCAGAAATAACCCAAACTATTTTCCCTAGCATGTTCTTCACATGCACCACAGGAACTTTATTCCCCTCTACAATATGCAATAGTTTTGATTGGGCTGGGCCAGCCCAGTTGGCAGATCCTCTAGTGTTGACTAACCAGGGGGCTTTTGCTAAATGGATATTCATATTTTTGAAGATCCCACAACACATTGCTCTGTATAGGCTTTAACAGTCCATTGTATCATTTGATTTTCCCAGAGGCTGGTGCATGATAGGGGAAGTGATATACCCACACAATACTGTGCTCTTTGGCCCAAGGGTCTATGAGGTTATTCTGGAAATGAGTCCCAGTGTCTGACTCAATTTTCTCAGGGGTGCTGTGTCGCCACAAGAACTGTTTCTCAAGGCCCAGGATAGTGTTTCAGGCAGTGGCGTGGGGCACAGCATATGTTTCTAGCCATCTGGTGGTTGCTTCCACCATGGTAAGCACATGGCGCTTGCCTTGGAGGGTTGGTGGGTATGTGATATAGTCAAGCTGCCAGGCCTCCCTGTATTTGTACTTCAGCCATCATCCTCCATACCAGAGAGGCTTTAATGGCTTGGCTTGCTTAACTGCAGCACAACTTCCTTGGGCAACCCATTCCAGTCCTTCACCAGTCTCACAGTAAAGACCTTCTTCCTTACATCTGACCTGAACTTCCCCTGTTTAAGTTTGAACCCATTACCCTGTGTCCTATCACTACAGTCCCTAATTAAGAGTCCCTCCCCAGCATCCCTATAGGCCCCCTTCAGATACTGGAAGGCTGCTATGAGGTCTCCACGCAGCCTTCTCTTCTCCAGGCTGAACAGCCTCAACTTTCTCAGCCTGTCTTCATACAGGAGGTGCTCCTGTCCCCTGATCATCCTTGTGGCCCTCCTCTGGACTTGTTCCAACAGTTCCATGTCCTTCTTATACTGAGGACACCAGAACTGTACACAATACTCCAAGTGAGGTCTCACGAGATCAGAGCAGAGGGGTAGAATCACCTTGTTCAACCTTCTGGTCACGCTCCTTTTGATGCAGCCCAGGATACAATTGGCTTTCTGGGCTGCGAGCACACACTGCCAGCTCATATTACTGGCCTCCAGCTGGACATTGATCCACTGACCACAGCTCTTTGCATGCAGCCATCCAGCAAGTTCTTTATCCACTGAGTGGTCCATTTATCAAATTGATGTCTCTCAATTAGACAGTGTCGAACGCTTTACACAAGTCCAGGTAGATGACATCATCTGCTCTACCCCTGTCCATCAGTTCCGTAGCCCTGCCATAAAAGGCCACCAAATTGGTCAGACAGGATTTCCCTTTAATGAAGCCATGTAGGCTGTCACCAACCACCTTGTTTTTTTCATGTGCGATAGCATGCCTTCTAGGAGAATCTGCTCCAAGATTTTGACAGGCACAGATGTGAGACTGACTGGTCTACATTTTCCCTTTCTTGAAAATGGGGGTTATATTTCCCTTTTTCCAGTTGTCGGGAACGTCACCTGACTGCCATGATTTTTCAAATATGATGGACACTGGCTTAGCAACTTCATTTACCAGCTCCTTCAGGACTGAGATATATAGGATAAATTTACTTTAGCTGTGCCTAAATTAGTAACGGTGATGACAACACAGATGTACCCATAGATATATTTCATATGTGCATTCTTGAATTTTCACACAAATTCAAACATGCTAATAGTAAATGCAGATAAACCAGTTAGCAGATTTTAAATTATAGACACTTACTTGGCAATACCTTTCACAGAATCATTAGGGCTGGAAGAGACATCTGGAAATCATCTAGTCCAACCCACTTCCCACAGCAAGGCCACCTAGAGCAGGTTACACAGGAACACATCCAAAATAATTTTGAATGTCTAAAGAGAGGGAGAATCCACAAGGCCCCGGGGCAGCCTGTTTCAGTGCTCTGCCACCCTCAATGTAAAGAAGTTCTTCCTCATGTTGAGGTGAAACTTTCTGTGTTGTAGTTTATGGCCATTGCTCCTCATCCTTTCACTGGGCACCATCCTCCTGGCACCCACCTTTGAGATACGAGACCCCCTCTCAGTCTTCTCTTAACTGAAACAGACCTAGCTCCCACAATCTCTCCTCCTAAGAAAGATGCTCCAGACCCCTGAATATCTTTGCGGCCCTCCACTGGACCCTCTCCAGTAGCTCCTCGTCTTTCTTGTACTGAAGAGTCCAGAACTGAACACAGTACTCCAGATGTGGCCTCACAAGGGTTGAGCAGAGGGGAATGACCACCTCACTCAACTTACTGGACACACTCCTTCCAAGGCACCTCAGGATACCATTGGTCTTCCTGGCCACATGGACACACTACAGGCTCAGTCAACTTATCATCTACCAATACTCCCAGATCAGTCTTCCTTTCTCCAGCCTTTTTTCTTACCTCTGATTTCTGGGACTCCTGAGAGCCATCCTCAGCAGTAAAGACTGAAGCAAAGGCAGCATTCAGTAAGGCGGCCTTTTCTGTGTCTTTTGTTACTAGGACACCCATCTGATTTAGCAGTGGCCCCCCATTCTCCCTCATCTTCCTTTTGCTGCTGATATACTTGTAGAAGCCCTTCTTGTTGCCCTTGATGTCCTTTGCCAGGCTCAGTTTTAAGTGGGCCTTGGCCTTCCTTGTCATATCCCTGCATACACTGATGACGTTCCTATAGTCCTCTCACGTGGCCTATCCCTTTTTCCACTTCTCATAAATTTCTTTCTCCTATTTGAGATTAACTAGGAGCTCCCTGCTCATCCATGCAGGTCTCCTCCCCCCTTTGCTTGATTTCTTCATCGTGGGTATACACTGGTCTTGAGCTTGGAGGAAGTGGTGTTTAAATATCAACCATCTCTCTTGGACTCCCTTCTCTTCTAGAGCCCTATCCCATGGGATTCCTCTAAGCAGGTCTTCGAAGAAACTGCTGTTAGCTCTCAGGAAGTTTAAGGTTCGAATTCTGCTTACTGTTTTGCTTCCCCCAGGCAGGATCCACCATCTCATAATCGCTACAGCTAAGGCTGCCCCCAAGCTTTCCGTTTTCAACCAATTCCCTCTTGATTTGTTAGTACAAGGTCCATCAGCGCACCTTTCCTCCTTGGCTCCTCTACCACTTGTAACAAAAAGCTATCTTCCATGCTGTGCAAGAACTCCCTGGACTCTGTGTGCTGGGCCATGTTGCCCCTCCAAGAACTAACTGGGTGGTTTAAGTCCCCCAGGAGAACCAGTGCCTTGGACTGTGAGGCTATTTCCAGCTGCCCACAGAAGATCTCATCAACTTCCTCCTCCTGATCAGGTGGCCTATAGTAAACACCCACAACAGTGTCTCCCATATTAGCCTCTCTGTTAATTCTCACCCATAAACTCTCAACTCATCACATTCAGTCACAGTGGTAAGGTAAAAAGATGAAATGCACAGTTTCACCTGTCACAACTTAGACAAGAAATTAAATGAGTTAGCCTCAACAACCCACAGCAGTAATTTCCATTTAAAAAGGTAAACATGCTAATTAGATTACATTTGACCATGGCATAATGAAGAATATACCTTCCAGAACAGATTTGTTCCTTCCTCTCTCTAATGCAACAAGTCTGTAATACTTCAAGCGCAACTTTGAAACTTCATTTCTCGTTAGCTTACAAAGAACAAAGAGGTACTTGATAAGGCCCAGCCAGACACTACAGCAACTGCTTTAAAATTCATTCACTTCTGTCCTTTAAGAAGCAGTATCCACGAATTATTCTTGAGGATGGATCTTCACAGTCTGTATTTTAAAACTATTTAGAGCACAGACAACTAGACAAATACTCCTCACTATACTGCATGAATGCAATAAAACAGAACTGCTGTGTTTAGTATAGTGTCAATAAACCTTCACAGATCTAATCTTTTATTGGCAAGAGATATCTGTGTTATAAAGCCTAATAGCATAATCAAGAACATCAGAAATTGTGTTCATTTAGAATATCAAGTGTAAAAAAAGTTATCAACAAGGGACATACCACACTAAATGTCTTCTGATCCAGTTCTTCAGATTCTTCAGATATAGGAACTGGTTCACTAGTTGCAGTAATATGAACTGGAATACCCAACAATGAAACCTTTTTATTTTTTTCTTTATTTTCAGACTTGATTTCATTTACCTAAGAACAAAATATGAAAATGCATCTGATAAGCAAACCTTATTTTGGGATTGGAATTATACTGCAATTAGGCAATCACTGTAATTTCTGTATTCTCTTCAATAACAAAAAAACCAACTGACATTCAGTGACAGCACCTTTACTTTTCTCTCTCCAAAGGATAGAGGAGAATGGACAAATTTCTTGCACCCCTTGTACTCTCAAGTCCCACTAAGCTATGCATCTTAAAGAGGCAATTTCCTATTTCAGTTGCCTGCCCTTAGAATTACAAGTGGCAAAAATAAAACTTCAAATGATGAAAAAGATTTCGATGAAATGAGAGCTGTAAAGTAAAATATTCAAAATACCTTTTCTACTCAAAATCATTCACAGAAACCTGTTGGCCTTTTCTAGTACTATATAAGAAAAATAAACCTAGTTACCTTTACTTCCTTTGCTTCTTTTTCTTTCAGTGTGGATTCTTTTAATTTGTTTTCTCTCTTTTCTTTAATATTTTTTAATTCTTTCTTATCCTCTTTTTCTTTTTTCTCCCTTTTCAAATCCCTCTTATTTTCTTTTTCCTTTGTCTCTCTTTTTTCTTCAGCTTCCTTTTTTATACCAATATCTGGCTCAGGCTTTTCATTTTCTTCTTCTGCTTTTAATTTTATGTGGATGCTTCACTGTAACAATCTCATTCTGCAATACACAAGCATATATGTCATCAAATTGATTTCCTAATTATACAAGTTTTGTAACCATCAGATTAAAATGTACTTTTTATCTGTGTGTGATCTCTTTAGACTTCGGTTTAACACCTATCAAATGGAGCTGGATGCAGTTATGAAACAAAATGAGGACTACTCATTTCCTTGATGTGACACAAAACAAGTACTGATTGGGCAGGGGTAATGGGGGGGGGGTGAGAAATGAAGTCAATTTAACTTTCAAATCCCCAAAGAAATCTGCCCCTGTAAAAGGTAGTTAAGCTGCAAAGACCTAAAAACAATAAGGAAGTAGGCATCACAAGACTGAGCTGATTTTTCAGGGCATGGTGATGATTAAAGACCTGTGTTCTGGTTAGCTTTGTTCCAGTAACCTTTTATTGACCACAAATTAAACATTTACAGCTACAGGAAAAGGGAACATAGTTCCAACTTTCTTTTTTTCCAGAGGTGTTCTGAAGAATCTGCTGTTCTTTCAGCTGCTTCAAAATCAGAATATTAGGTGCATCAAGGCCCCTAAATGTCATCTAAAGGAATACATCATAAAAACATAACAAAGTTAAGTGGCCTATTAGTATAATGAAAACCCTGAGATAAACAGAAGCATTTACTAGCATGTCTCAAAACATCATTTATTCATGCTGTTCTTACTAACCAAGCTTGATTTTTTTTTCCTGAGCCTGAACTTAAGTTGCTACCTGAAGAATCATTATCAGTATTAATAATGGATTAGTCAGAAACGTTAGTTTTATTTTCAGATGTTACATTAAAAATTGTATTTGTAGCAGATACAATGCTCAAGTCTTTAAAGAATATTGAAATTGCACAATGTCACTTGTAACCGGGTGGCAACTTTATTTTATGATATCATAATTTGGAAAACTAATCATAATGTCTGAAGTACAAGCTTACTAAACTAAAATAGATATCGTCTTCCATGTGATTATATTGATGCAATATTAACTACCACAGAAGGAGAATGCCATTCAAGTGCTTCAGTTTTATTAAGTCAAACAGAAGATCAAACAGAAAGAGTGTTACTAATAGAAGCAATTGAATAGCCATCTTTACCATATGAAGGACGTTTACCTCGTTATCTTCATCAGATTTTTCTGAGGGTGGTGATGAAGAGTCACTTTTTATTTCTTCCTTAATTTTTGCAGCCTTTGTTGCTCTGTTCTTCTTAGTTCTTGTTTTCCTCCTCTTTAAATTGCCCTGAATGCAAATTAGTACCTTTAGTATGTCAACCAACAAGTGTCTTTGAACCACAGTTGCAGAAAAAGATTTGGTTTTTATGTTAAAGAAAACATTAATTTTATTTATTGCCACTAATGACCACGACTTTTCTCAGGACTGGAGACTGAGCCTAATGCAACAGTAGAGAATATATACAAATAAGAGAGAATAAAACAATATTAAACTTGTAATTCACTCCTTGAGTTAGCCTCATATAATATAATTAGCAATACAGAGAAAAATTACACAAAGCGAAGAAGAGTGGAAGTAAGAATAAAATCTGCTGACACGCCCATAAACATTATGTTATCTTGGTGCTGAATATCAAGCTTTACTTACTACACCAGTAAGTCTTTGTGCTTCTTTTCTTGCAAGGTCTTTATTCAGCAATTTAATGAGGTAATCTGCACGGGTCTGTAACTGCTTGGCTTGGGGTTTCTTCTCTGGATCATCAGGTAAAATCTGAGAAAAGCAATGGTAGTATCAACTAAAACGTACACATTATCAAATTAGGAAGCTGCAAGTCTTGAACACTGGGAACAGGAAAAGCTGAATTAAAAAAAAAAGGTTAAAAATAAAACCCCAATCCAACTATAACTGACCAATATGCCAACATGCTTAAAGGAATGAAAAATTTCTGAAATGTTTTATTTTTTCCCCAAACACACAAATAATGTAGTCTTGGAAATGGTCGCACAAAGTTTACAAGAAACTAGACTCAGATTTTTGTTTCCACTCTCATAGTTTATCTAAAAAGTGCAGAGCTCCTGTATTACTGTCATACACAGGTCTCCTAGCTCTGCTTTGTTTCCACTCTCATAGTTTATCTAAGAAATGCAGAGCTCCTGTATTACTGTCATCTACAGGTCTCCTAGCTCTGCTTTGTGCTTCTAAATGCATTAACTAATTACCACAGGATATTTCAGAAGCCAAATGTATAAATTAGTGGTTTCATAAGACAAGCAACTAAATGGAAGGCATGGGCAGGATATCATTAAACAGCTTTGTATACAACCCTGGCTCCTCAAATCCCAAAGTTACAGGTTGTTGTCAATGTCACTGAGTTTGCTTCACTCCAGTCTTTCCCTATATGTTTCTCACTACTTCTAAGCAGCTATTACGCTAATTCTAATCTGATGGGTACAGCTATTCTCATGTTACAAATGAGTTTCAAGCAAAGAAACCAGGGACAGGAAAACCAAAGTAAAACCCCCAAACAACCTTCCCTCCAAAAGATCAAGAATAAAATTAACAAAACTAGAGCATTTAAACTAGGAAGATAAAAGAGAAAGAACCCAAGTGACAAGAGATCCAAATAAATAGAAATACAGAAACATAACAGGTTCTAAGAAGGCATACATCAACTGAATACACAAAATCTGGAAATCTAATAATTTACCAGGATACAAAGGAGTACAACTGACCTAACTTCTGTGCATTTTCAGTTATCATAAAATAAGCTCTTTCAGTAATTGTTCTTATTAGCATTGTTACCTAAAAAAAGAAATTAAAAAAAAAATAATAATCCTTGATGAAATTTTGTAGATGACATACCTTCTGTGTCAAACTGAGATCAGGGTCCATTTTTATCATTTCCCAGCTGCCATAGCCATATTCATAGATACCTATTAACAGATTGGAATCATCTTCCTTACACCAATCTATATCAAAATGAGCTGCCTTAGTGTGGCATGGGATGACATATCTAGTAGAAATAAATTGGAAAAATAAATGAGTGATCTTCTCAGCCTTAGCAAGGGAGAGGGGAACATGCCACACAATACCTTTTTCTTTCTTCTGGATCTGAAGGAATGGATTTGTGCAATGGTGCCAACTCTTCTTCATGAGAGATGACTAGCTTTGCGTTCACCTGCACTCCCGATATTCGGAATGTTGGGCCTTTAACTTTCCCAAGTCTACCCACTTAAAATAAAGGAACAAATTATTAAAATATTTAGCCACTATGTGTATATTATATACAAGCACAAAAAAAAAAAAGTTTGACGCGATAGCAGCAGACGTCCAATTATAGTAAACTACCTTTTCATAATCAAATGCTTTAATTAATCTCCAGAATCTCAAGGTCTTTCAGATAATAATAGAAAACTAATTTTAAATTTCACAGTAAAACAAAAGCATGCTGCATTCTACTGCGACGATTCACTTAGGGAAAGGGGGACAATAAACAAAACTAAAAAGGTTTTACTACAATAATTTTTTCTATATCACCTAGCATGTTAACATTTTGTTAATCTTTTCCCCTATCTTTTCTTCCTATCATTGTGAAGCAGAATTCACCAGGCATTGGATTGTTCACCCACTAATAGGGAACGTGAGCTGGGTTTAGACTGTCGTGAGACAGGTTAGGTTTACCCTACTGATGATGTGTTGTTGCAGTAGTAATCCTGCTCAGTACGAGGTAATCATGCTCAGAATCATTAGGGTTGTAATCCTGCTCAGGTTCAGACTCCTGGTGCGTGCGCTTGTCTGAGGAGCCACTGGCGCAAGGCTACCATCTGCAGGCTTATGACTGAACGCCTCTAAGAACCCGCCTAGACGCCTGTTGTGCTATTGTGTCATTGTTGCTTGTGACTGACCCAGGAGATGACAGTCTCGTCCAGAATGCATGGCTAAAGGTCTTCCCGAATCTTTGTTAGCAAAGTCAGGCCTTCCTCATAGGAGAAGGAAAACTCCTATCTTCAAACCCGGGCTGATGGAGCTCGTCTAGCCTTGTATGGTCTTCCACCAAAGAGAAGGACACTCTTACAAAACCTACAACCTGTGGACTTTGCTGTCACCGTCCTAGCTAACTAGGCCGTGCCAGTTAAACCTCAGGTTTAAAGGGTGGGGCCAATTCTGCGCAAACAGCACTTCACCTAAAAAACCCACTGCGCAGGCTGGAAGGGCTTACTCTCACTTGTCTGTATAGACAGGTGAGGGTCAAAAAGGTAGATGACAAGGTGCATGGGAAGCTGCAAGATCCAACGTTGCATGCGGGTGGACCAGCGCATGGGTAGCTCGAGTTAGCTCAGGAGTTGACAGTTGTGGTCGGACACTTCCTGATTGCCTCAGCACCCTTTTTCCCAGATTTGCATATCCCACATGCCCTTGGTCATCATGCTTGTAGTAAGTGTGGTTAAAGCCTTTCCCAAATCTTCGCTCGCCAAGCCAAGCCATCAATCTTTTCCCCTAACACTATTGTTTTGTTCTGTGGTCCGCCTTGGCCTCCAATCGGGAGACTTGGAGGCACATCATACATAATGCTGCTGACTCCCTTGAGAGTTTACGAAGAAATAGCCTCGAGGAGAAAAGACAATGCAGAAAGAATGGCGCCCCACCTGTACCACCCAAGGAGACCTTCTGCTGTGCTTTTTGTAGCCGGATTTGCCTATCCTACATCGGCCTTCTTAGCCACCAGCGCGCCTGTAGTAAGCGTGGGCAAAGCCCTTCCTAAATCTTCGCTCGCAAAGTCAAGCCATGAATGAATGAATTGTTTTGTTCTAATCAGAGTGCAAGAATTATTATTAACATTGTTAAATTGTTATTAAAATTAATAATCAAATTATTATTTTAAATTAATTAAATTATTATTAAAAGTGACAGATCTCTTGACACTTTTTATTCCTCTCCTCCACCCCCCCCAAACACACTTTACCTGCTCTTTCCTGTCCAAAGGAATTGTCATTTAAAGCCTTAATGCATCCATTATGCAAAAGTTCTCCCAGCCGTCTAAGGTCCATCTCAGATTTATCAACTAGCTCAGCATCTCTAGCTATAGCATCTAACCTGCAAGAAAACAAATATGTCTTTACAGCTCTAAAACTTCAGTATTATGAATGACTCCTTCAGATTTTGAAACTAGAGAAGTGAACACGTAATTTATCATTCACCCACGCTTGCTATGCTGTGTACAGTTTTCATCCATGCAGTTAAAATCAGCTATAGAAAAGAATATAGAAACTATAAAAAAGGGTGTTTCACATAGAGGACAACACAACAGGAACTATAAAGGTCCCTAACTATACAGTTTTAAGTTACATTACTAAGCATTCTTTCAAATAGAAAAAGAACTATATAATAAGATCATATAGGCTATAAATACTATTAAAGAAAATGAAGGTGGGAAATTATTCTCAAAATACAGAGTAATACAGAAAGCTTAAAATAAGAACTGACAATGAGAAAAATGCAAAACTAGCAGTCAGTCTGTTGAAAGCCTATGGGTTTATCCATTGTATCAAACAAGAAAACTTAACAATTGTCACTAATGTGAGTGAGAACAAGACAGTACGTGAAGTATAAAAAAAACCCAAGCAGTCTTACAAAATTTAAAGATTTGTTGAACTGGCTGTCTACATACATACCATGTATGAAGAAAGGGAAAAAAAATAAAAATTCATGTTATAGTCAAGGCAAAAGATTAAGCACACCATTTTCTCTTCAGCCTAAGGTTTCTTGGTGCACTGTTCTAATTTTAATGAAAACAAAGTTCTAAGTTGCTATACAAATATAATAAAATAAGTTTACCTTTCAAGTGGGCCACCAAATTTTTTGTAACTCTTGATAAATCTAGTAACAGAAAATAATTTTGCAGTTAAAAAATGTATGCTTAACTACACTGGTTTTAAAAATGCATTTGTAAAGTCTTAGTACAAGGCTATGCGGACAATGCAAAGAGAATAAGAACTAGAGAGCAGGACAGCTTAGTATACCAAGATAACCCACATTTAAAGCCAGTTCTATTTGGTTTAATAAATGATGTAAATAAAACAATAGAGGATAGAATTTATTTCAAAAATTACTAATTAGTTTCAGAAGACAAAAAATTCAGCAATGTGTTGTGTCTAATAAAAAAAAAATGTGGATTTACAGTAAATTGAGAGATCAGAGATTATGTTAGGCCTCTCATAATAAAGAGGAGCTAGGTACAACTTTAAGGTGATTTTAAGACTTAAGAAAACATAACATGAAAGATAAAGGAATGCAAGCACAATACCCCAGGCAAAAGCAGCAAACAGAAAGCTGCTTTTTGTTTGACAAACATATGACAAAAAGCATATGTTAGATGAAAAGGAAACAAGGGTCTTTAAGGCTATTTATATAATCAAACATATTTTATAAGCTTTACATTATTTTAGAGAAGCATGAATGTTTGAATTCCAGAAGCAAAGTAGCATTTCACAAACCAAGCAAAGTAAAGCAAAATAATTTCTCCTCCTCCTATCACAGAAGCACTTTTAGCACCAAATATTGATGGGACCAGCTGTACGGATTCAATTATGTACCGTTTTTTGTTTAGATAAAGTTAATTTTCTTCAGAGCATCATACCTGCTAGTATGTTTTGGATTTTTGACCAAAGCAGTATTGCTAACACAGGGATGTTTTTGTTATTGCTGAGCAGTGCTTACACAGAGTCGAGGCCTTTTCTGCTCCTCACACCATCCCACCAGCAAGTAGGCTGGCAGTACACAAGAAGTTGGGAGTTGCCCATTAAACTATCTTTATCTCAACCCAAGACTTTTTTTCTCATTTTTACCCTTCTGATTCTCTCCCCAGTCCCTCTGGGGGACACTGAACGAGCAGCTGTGCAGTGCTTAGCTGCCTACCAAGGTTAAACCACAACAACTTATCAAAAGTATTTTTTTCTTTTAGTTTAAAAATCATTATATAACATGAATTCAATGACAATGGTAAGAAAATTAAAACAAAACAAAACTCACTGAATCTTTTGTAGGTATTTCCACAAAAACGTGTCTATCACTTCTTCAACTACAGTTTTTAGGTTAAATGATGGGAATTACAATATTTTGTTTGTGGGGCTAAAAAGAAAACTCACCCATTTTAGTAACTGAAACTGTTTTTTAAAATCACTGCCTTCAGGGGATACAGGAAGAATAATACCTATTAAAAGACTGTAAAACAACTGGAAAAATTTTTCAAACTAAATGTTCAAATTCTGGACATAACAGTTCCTTATGTTAGCACCCCAAACTACAGAGTAAAGCCTTAAATGCCTAGAATAAAACTTTTTAAATAAGTTCAGGATAACCAGACTGTTTTCCATATTTTCAAACTCTAAAATGCTAAAAAGATATGTTTTGTCCCTTTAAACATGCACGTCCCGTCCCGTCCGTCCCCCCCCCCCCCATCTTACCGCCTAATTTCTGCATCGCTAAATCCTTTAATATTTTCACGAGGAATAGTTCGTGGTCGTCCACGTTTCCTTGGTCGTTTTCTTTCTGAGATGGAGTCACTATCAGATCCGGAATATCTTCTGCTCCTACTGTGTCTCCTTTCACTTCCATTAAAGCTGATCTGGAATTTCAGGTTAAGCAGTTCAAAGCTATGTGACCAAAACATTTTTTTAATGTGTTATCTAGACTGCCAAAAATGAGGGAGGGAGTAGGTGTGGGGGGTGTCATGTAAAAATCACCCAACCCAAAAGTACAAGCCAAAAGAAGAGTAATGAAAAAACAAACCAACCATCACCACCACCAAAAAACAAAGTTAATTGGTCAAACCCCAGAGATACCTGCTTTGCACAGTTTCTCATCCTTGGGAGCATATATATTTCTTCGAGCTCTTTTTGTCTTTCCTCCTCTTCTATTCGTCGTCGCTGGACTTCTGGAATGATTTCTTCCCAGTTTCTTAAATTTTGTTCTGGTTCCAACTCAATGTCATCTTCATCCATATTGGAAAAGTTAGCAACCTTATGTATTGGAACATATGTATTTTCACCAAATTAATACATGATTTTATTTAAACAAAGAGTCGGTAATTAATATTTTAGGAAAACTTAGTTCAGAATGGCATCGTTCATTTATTTATACATACACAAAATGTACACATATAAAATGCTTCACGAAGCACTGTCTCTAATGAAAGTATTTTCATATATGAAATGCACATACTCCATGCAACATGGCTGAATATAAAGATGAGAATCTAAAATAGAAGCACTATGAAATGCCTCCCCAATAGTTGTGATTATTATTTATTTCCTTCAAAGCAGAAAGCAAGTCTAACCGAATGCCTGAGTTTATATGAAAGTATAATAAAACAGAAATCACAATATATTGCAAATGAATGATTAGGAAAGTGATTTAATACTCTACTGATCTAAAAAACCTCCTGCACTGCTTTAAACAAAACCAAGTAAAAACACACCACACACACCAAACCTAAACAACAACAACAAAAAGATCCACCACCCCCCCACCCCCCCCATACCATGACACACAATTTGGACCCACTTAATATTTTAAGTGTTAAGGATTCTTTGGCATTCCCATTTAACATGGGGGCTGAAAGGAATTTCTAAAAGTCATAAACTAAGAAATCCAAACTTTATTCTCTGTTTTCAGAAGTACCACTTCTGAAAGTGCTAAGTGGTGCTTAACAGCATAAAGCATTAAATGAAAAACAGCCCTCCTCAGTATTGTAATAACTGAATCAAAGACTAATGTATTTGTAAATCTCTTTCTTATTTTGTTAGGAAAATACGTCATGTATTTTTAAATGTTTGCACTGGCAGTAATTACCCTGTATAGGTGAAAAGACAATTCTATGCCAAAGAGTTGAGTTGTTGTTGCACCTGTTTCATAAGAATGAAGATGAATAGGAACAGAGCAATACCTTGAACTGTGAAAGCAATTCATCTCCTACAGTTATTGGGCCTGGCTCATTTTCTCGAGTTTCAGCCCTCTTCAGGATTTCATCTATATCCATTTCCTGAAACAGAAGTTTCTCTTTACAACAAAACAATTCATATGTATTTGTAGTTTCTCTGTCCATCAAGTGTAGATGAAGTATTTCATTTACCTGAGGCTCCTCTTCTTCCCCTTCAGGTTCTTTAAAAAGTTCCTCAGCACCGAACTTCAAAATTGCTGATAATTCTTCCTTATTAAAAGGTGTTGAGCTGAAATACAGAGAGTTTCAGATAAACACTTTAATTTTGTGAACTTTTTGAAATTCCTATAACCCCACGTCAATAAAACTACTTTTTGACTTAAATAAAAGCTATAGTTAATATGTAAAAAAATATGTACAAAGACAATATATTTAATATGTTTTGCAGTCTTTACTTACATAACTCCTTACCACATATTTTTTGCTTTTATTAGCCAAGTGAAATGACTTGCATTTTTTACTCAAATAGTCAGGCATACTTAAGCATAAATTAATATGAAAGAATAAACAAATATACCTGGAAGGAGTAGAGCCTGTATGTAGTACAGTTTTCCCTGTAGTGTCCATTCTCTGAATTACTAAGTGATCTAACACCATCTTTTTCTTGGCTCTTTCAAGAATATCTTCTTCTACTGATCCTTTTGTGACTAGCCGATAAATATTAACCTATGCATCATAAAAAAGGATTTATTTACATGCTCATAAATTGAACAACAACAGGGAGAAAAGTTAGTTGTGATTACAAATCTTCTAAATCTTACTGAACTAGTATTTCATATATGAAACCAGTCAGTCATGTTACCACAGTTTCTATATAAATTATTAAAAAAAATAAAAGAAAGAAATCCTCTTTAAACTTCTGTGATTAGGCACAAGCATAGCCACAAGGAAATGTGTTATAACTGATTACTATTTGAAGTCTTTTGCAAGAAAGAAACCCAAAGAGAACTATGAAGTATTTAAGTAAAATGGATGCCCCTGAAATACAGCAGCTACTTTCTAGAATTACATGATGCAAATGAACGTGGGACAAGTCAACAACTCTTCTCCCTACCCATACATATCCTATGGCCACTGTGCAATCTCTCCATATAGAATCATAGAATAATAAGGGTTGGAAAGGACCTTAAGATTATCTAGTTCCAACCCCCCTGCCATGGGCAGGGACACCTCACACTAAACCATGTCACCCAAGGCTCTATTCAGCCTGGCCTTGAACACCGCCAGGGACGGAGCATTCACAACTTCCCTGGGCAACCCATTCCAGTGCCTCACCACCCTTACAGTAAAGAACTTCTTCCTTATATCCAATCTAAAATGTTCAATGTGAATTTATTTCACTACCATGTCCTGTCAGGGAAAGCAACCCTAATGCACGTTGATTACTTTCTCAACAGTTCCCGGAACTGCATTTGAAGGAGCCAAGTCATCCTCCCTGATCCCTCTAAGTAGACCGGCTTTATGAAAAAAACCAAAATCAAGCAAAACACAACAAAGAAACCAAACAAATAATTCCTTCTTCCCTATAGCTAAATTATATAATAGCAGTCTTCACCCTGGTTAAAAATATTCATTTAAGGAGTAATTAGCAGCAAAATTACCAGTAAATAACCACACATTTCTGCTAGGGTATGCCAGCTGCACTTTTTCTGGAGTCAGACCTTTTTCAAATCCCAGTCTCTGGCTTCTCAGAGGTAGTAAGCAGTTGTTACACTAGCTTAGATGCAGTGACACTGAGAACATGTCCCATTTCACAGAACTGCACAAACTTTCAAATAAATTACCCTGTCACTTCCCCAAGAGTATCAGTCAAAATCAGACCGACACGGTACCACAGCAGATCCAGTGAACAACCATCCCAACGTTCTTCAAAGTACTTAGTTTATCTTCACCTTAGAACAGAAATCTTCAGCTGCCTGAGAAATGAATTTGGTCTTAAGAGAAGACCTTTGATTCACATCATATTATTTAAGACTTCTTAATTTTTATCAACATTACCAACCAACTGGATTTTCAACTGTCGATAATTACCTCTCCCATTCCCCGACATTCTAGGGCAAGAGCTTGAAACTCATGGTTCATCTCATCCACAGATCAAACCTGGGGCTGGCCATTTTTTTTTTAAAGAAAAATTAGCATTATTAAAAGTTTTTTCGAAATTCTTGGCAAATATCTGTTATTCTCAAAATACATGAGGACTGCAATCGCCCAGACAGACAGCTTATGGCTACCATATGAAATGTTCCTTTAAGTTTGGAGCTTAAAAGACAAATCTGCATACCTGCTTCTTCTGTCCAATCCTATGAGCTCTAGCCTGTGCTTGCAGATCATTCTGTGGATTCCAGTCAGAATCAAATATTACTACAGTGTCAGCAGATGCCAAATTTATACCTAATCCTCCAGCTCTGGTAGACAGCAAAAAGCAGAAGTCCTGAAATTATAAAACAATAAATAGCTTTATATATATAAGCTGTAATATTCTTCAAGGAACCAATATGACACTTCTTTATTATATGCTCTCTAAAGCAGACTATGAACTTATACAATTCTTTAAGTATGTCATAAATATTTGCTAGACTTGTAATACAATAAGGTGCTTGTCATGGCTAGAGCCAGTAGATCGCTATTAGAATAGAACAGACTAGATGATTTCAGCTGGAAGGAACCTACATCAGTCATCTAATCCAACTGCCTGACCACTTCAGGATGGACCAAAAGTTAAAGTATGTTATGAAGGGCATTGTCCAAATGCCTCTTAAAAACTGACAGGCTTGGGGCATCAACTATCTCTCTAGGAAGCCTATTCCAGTGTTTGACCACCCTCTCGGTAAAGAAATGCTTCCTAATGTCATGTCTGAACCTCCCCTTGATGCAGATTTGAACTATTCCCACCTGTTCTGTCACATGATACCAGGAAGAGATCAGCACCTCCTTCTCCAATTCCCCTCCTCAGGAAGCTGTAAAGAGCAATGAGGTCGCCCCTCAGCCTCCTTTTCTCCAAACTAGACAAACCCAGAGCCCTTAGCCACTCCTCATAGGACATGACTTCCAGCCCTTCCACCAGCTTTGTTGCCCTCCTCTGGATGCATCTGAGGACCTTCACATGGAATATCTCTTTGCTTAGTTCGGGTCATCTGCCTGCTGATGGGGGGGGCCCCCCCCAGAGTGAGAAGGCCTTGACGCTATGCAAACTCTGTCCAGCAACAGCTAACACGCTAGTGTGTTATTAATATTGCTCTGTCACAAATCTAAACCACAGCACCATATGAGCTGCTATAAAGACAATTAACTCCAGCCCAGCTAGACCCAGTATAAGTATAAAGCAAACTGATATCAATTACTGACTTCTCTGTGGTGTAAAGGAAGCAACATCCTAAGATGAGCAAAAGCCACTTGGGGAGAAAAAACCCAAGCAAAACACTGGCCAGAAATACAACCCCCCTTGTTGTTAAGCCTTATGTGTGCTCAAGTCTCTCTGTTTTTTTGTTAAGAGAAAATTAGGTGTTCTGAAGGGGTCAGTGCTCTTCAACATATTCATAAACAATATGAAAATGAGATGAGCATGAGCAATGGGGTGACAAAGTCTGCAGATGATACGGAGTTATTCAGGGACAACTACAAAGAACTACAGAAGTATCTTATGTGACAGGCAATAAAAAAGCATATGAAATTAAATAGTGAAATAGAAAATAAATTTGAGTTTTAAATACAGCAAAAGTTAATAGCATGCCATTACTGCTCAGGAATAAGTCCTTGGAGTTGCCATTGATACTGTCATTAATATTGTAGCTCAGTAATAGAAAAGAAAAAGAAAAGAAAAAAGATGGCTTTTTACTGATTATTAGGAAATAAACAGAGAATATAACAGGAAATAATTTTATTGCTGCACAACTCTATCATTTGCCTCTATTCTTTAATACAGTGTGAAGTTTGGATCCCCCCTTCATCTTAAAAAACTGTACATTACACCTACAAGGATTCCAGAAAAAGGCAATGATGTCTAGACTAGAAATTTAAAATAGAACTAAATTTTGGATTTAACAAATACCTAAAATTTATGTTATGAAATTAAGTTCTTCCTCCATAGCAGAAATATAAGCTCAGCAGCAACTGACAAATGCTATGCTCCCATTACTGTAAAACCGTGTCAGTGCAGGACAAAAGACCTAAGATTATCAAAGGTATGGAATGGCTTCCATAGTAGGAAGCCTAAATAAAATAGGAATCTTAAGTGGTATACAAACAATAGCTAGAAATCAGTTTTTCAGTTTCTTCCGGAGCAAGGAAATAAGAGGTAAAAAATTAAGATAACAGAAGCCATATTAGCTCTTTTAAGCTAATAAGGATAGCTTTTCTTCATGCAAAGATATACACAACTCAATTCTACCCATTGCCTGAGGAGGGTTTCAATGTCAAAAGCTTGTGCAAAAGTTTCGTGCTCCTATAAAAACTGAAGGATTAAGTCCTACACAACAAAATAAATTCAACTATTCCATTTTTATACAGTACTTAAAATTAGAATCACAGAATCATAGAATAGTTAGGGTTGGAAAGGACCTTAAGATCATCAACTTCCAGCCCCCCTGCCATGGGCAGGGACACCTAGCTCTAAACCGTATCACCCAAGGCCTTGTCCAACCTGGCCTTGAACACTGCCAGGGATAGAGCATTCACAACTTCCTTGGGCAACCTATTCCAGTGCCTCACCACCCTAACAGGAAAGAATTTCCTCCTTATATCCAATCTAAACTTCTCCTGTTTAAGTATTAACCCATTACCCCTTGTACTGTCACTACAGTCTCTCCCCAGCATCCCTATAGGCCCCCTTCAGATACTGGAAGGCTGCTATGAGGTTTCCATGCAGCCTTCTCTTCTCCAGGCTGAACAGTCCCAACTTTCTCAGCCTATCTTCATATGGGAGGTGCTCCAGTCCCCTGATCATCCTCGTAGCCCTCCTCTGGACTTGTTCCAACAGTTCCATGTCCTTTTTATGTTGAGGACACCAGAACTGCACACAGTACTCCATGTGAGGTCTCACGAGAGCAAAGCGGCAGGATCACCTCCTTTGACCTACTGGTCACTCTCCTTTTGATGCAGCCCAGGATAAGGTTGGCTTTCTGGGCTGCAAGCACACACTGCCGGCTCATGTTCGTTTTCTCATCGACCAACACCCCCAAGTCCTTCTCTGCAGGGCTGCTCTGAATCTGAATTACTTTTTTGCTCTGAATTACTTTGATAAAGAGTATTGACAAAAATCTAAAAAAAAAAAAAAAAAAACCCAACCAAAAAACAACTATGTATTTATATTAGTTACACACCATTTTCATAAATTCCATGTTTCCTATTTAACCTCCTCTTAGTTTTGGTTGATTTGGTTTATTTTGGTTGTGGGGTTTTTTGTTTGTTTGTTAAGAGTTTTAATCCTTATAGTCTAGGCAACAGAAATGCAATTTCAATGTAATACATCCCTCACTTTATTCTATATTCAGGTTTTGTGTAATATATGCTATATTTTTGGGAATAAAAATTAAAGCTGAGTAGATTTAAAAAAAACCACACCCACTAATACCATACCTCTGATCCTTCTGCATTAAAATGATCCAGGGCTTGTTTCCTCAGTTCTCCTTTTATTGATCCGTCGAGTCTCTAAAAATATTGAATTACATAATTAAAAAGGAACTACTACTATATTCTAATTGGAGCAACTTGAAATCTCAATTGACAAAACAGGGGGGGGGCGAGTAAGAGTAATGTAATAAACTTTCTAATTCATCAGTTTTGTTTCAAAATACTATTTAGCGTATAGCAATTGCCAGTCTTTTCCTGTACATAAAATTTTCATAAATCTTTCTTCAAAAAGGACACTTTTCTTAAGATAAAGTGGTAATGATCAAGGCTTCTTGGCTACTACCAGCAAAATTCTTACCTGAAAGGGAAACTGACGATACTTCAAATACTCTGCTAGGATGTCTAGCATTCTCACCATCTGAGAGAAAATCAGTACTCTGTTGCCACGTTCTCGTAGACGAATCAGTAGCTTGTCAAGAAGGATTAGTTTCCCACTGCTACGTATTAAATGCTACAAGACAATAAAATGTGTATTGCAAAATAAGTTCACCTCAACACTAACATACACTGCAGATGGTTAGACATTCATTAACGGAACATGAAAGTTTAATAAGTATTTAGTCAGTCCTGATCTTGTGTCCTGGGTTTAGCAGTAGCAGTCATTTTTCTCCTCCTTGGTAGCTGGTGCAGTGCTGTGTTTTGACTTTCGGTCTGGGAGCAAAGCTGATAACAATGATGTTTTGGTTTGGCCAAGGACTTTGTGAGCCTCATGCTCTGTCAGGGAGGAGGGAAGAAGGGAGGAAGCAGGGACAGGACACCTGACCCAAACTGACCAAAGAGGTATTCCAGACCAGAGCACGTCATGCCCAGGATGTAACTGGGAGTTACCCGTAAGGGCTAGAGGACTGCGGGGTTAGAGGAGGTATTGGTCAATGCTTGGTCGGGCTGGGGGGAGCAAGTTATCGGTCGGCTGGTGCTGAGGTGTTGTATTCTCTTCCCTTGTTATTTCCTTTATCATTATTATTATTGGTGGTAGTAGTAGTGATTTGTGTTATGCTTTAGTTACTAAACTGTTCTAATCTCAACCCGTGGGAGTTGCATTCTTTTCCATTCTCCTCTCCATCCCTCCAGGAGTAGGGGGAGGGCAAGAAGGTGGGGAGTGAGTGAAAAAAGCTGTCTGGCTGGGTTTAAACCACGACATCTTGTAAAAACTCATAAAAGTACTGAGCACTCTAAGTGAAATCAACAGGAGTACTGACTAGCATGTTTTTCAAATAAATGCATTTCTCAGTTCTGGCTCATAAAACAGCATCTTAACATTACACAGTATCACAGTATCACAGTATGTTAGAGATTGGAAGGGACCTCAAAAGATCATCTAGTCCAATCCCCCTGCCGGAGCAGGAACACCTAGATAAGGTTACACAGGAACGTGTCCAGGCGGGTTTTGAATGTCTCCAAAGAAGGAGATTCCACAACCTCCCTGGGCAGCCTGTTCCAGTGTTCCGTCACCCTCACTGAGAAGAAGTTTCTTCTCAGGTTTAAGTGGAACCTCTTGTGCTCCAATTTGTACCCATTACCCCTTGTCCTTTCATTGTTTGCCACTGAGAAGAGCCTGGCTCCATCGACACAGTATTCCAGATGAGGTCTCACCAGGGCAGAGTAGAGGGGAAGGAGGACCTCTTCAGCCATGTACACTCACCCCCCTCCTTAAAGACCATGTAGGCCCAATCCCACTGTCACAGGCCAGGACAGTCTCCACTAGACTAGGCTGCTGGGTTAAACCAGGACCCCCAGGTCCCTCTCCCCTACACTGCTCTCTAACAGGTCGTTCCCCAGCCTATACTGGAACCTGGGGTTGTTCCTGCCCAGATGTAGGACTCTACACTTTCCCTTGTTATATTTCATCAAGTTATTCCCCGCCCAACCCTCCAGCCTGTCCAGGTCTCTCTGAATGGCAGCACAGCCTACTGGCGTGTCGGCCACTCCTCCCAGCTTAGTGTCATCAGCAAACTTGCTGATAGTACACTCAATTCCCTCATCTAAATCATTGATGAATATATTAAATAATACTGGTCCCAGTACCGACCCTTGAGGCACTCCACTAGATACAGGCCTCCAACTCGACTCTGCCCATAGACTACAACTCTCTGGCTTCTCTCCTTCAGCCAGTTCACAGTCCACCTCACTACCCGATCATCCAGACCACACTTCCTCAATTTAGCCGCAAGGATGCTGTGGGAGACCGTGTCAAACGCTTTGCTGAAGTCGAGGTAGACCACATCCACCGCTCTGCCATCATCCATCCACTGTGTTATTTCCTCATAAAAGGCTACGAGATTGGTCAAGCACGACTTCCCCTTGGTGAAGCCATGTTGACTGCCCCTCATAACCCTCTTATCCTTGATATGCCTTAAGATGGCACCAAGGATAAGGTGTTCCATCACTTTCCCAGGAACGGAGGTGAGGTTAACCGGTCTATAGTTACCCGGGTCCTCCTTCTTGCCCTTTTTGAAGACAGGAGTGACATTTGCTTTCCTCCAGTCCTCAGGCACCTCTCCCGTTTCCCAAGACTTGGTAAAGATGATGGAGAGCGGTCTAGCAATGACCTCAGCCAGTTCTCTCAGCACCCGCGGGTGCATCCCATCTGGACCCATGGATTTATGGATATCCAGATTGCTCAACTGGTCTTTAACCCATTCCTCATCGACTAAGGCAGACCGCTCCGTTGACCTATCTTCATCCGGGGTCTCAGCGGTACAGGACTCTTCAGGACTGCCTCCAGCAGAGTAGACAGAGACAAAGAAGTCATTCAGTAACTCTGCCATCTCTGTATCTTCTGTCACCAGGGCACCCGTCCCGTTCATCAGCGGGCCTACATTGCCTCTGGTGTTAGTTTTACCTGCCATGTATTTGAAAAAGCTCTTTCTGCTGTCTTTGACCCCTCTCGCCAGCTTTAATTCCAAGGAGGCCTTAGCCATCCTAGCAGCTTTCCTACATCCTCTAGCAGCAGCCTTATATTCTTCCCAAGTGGCCAGCCCTTCTTTCCATGACCTGTAAACTCTCCTCTTCCACTTGAGCATACCGAGCAATTCCCTATTTAGCCACGCAGGTCTCCTGACCCTCTTCCTTGACTTCCTACGTGTCGGGATGCTCCGATCTTGAGCTCGGAAAAAGCAGTCCTTGAACGTCAACCAACTATCTTGGGCCCCTTTCCCTTCAAGCAGCCTAGCCCACGGCATTTCCCCTAGCAATTGCTTGAAGAGGCCAAAGTTTGCCCTGCTAAAGTCCAGGGTTGCGATTCTACTTGCTATTCTACTGACCCTACCACACAAGATCCTGAATTCCACCATCTCGTGGTCGCTGCAACCAAGGCAGCCCTCAACCTTCACTCCTTCAACCAGACTCTCCTTGTTAGTGAGGATGAGATCCAGCAGCGCACCTCTCCTGGTTGGCTCATCCACCATTTGCATGAGGAAGTTATCATCCATACACTGGAGGAACCTCCTGGACTGCGGCTGGGTTGCCGAGTAGTCCTTCCAGCAAACATCAGGGAAGTTAAAATCCCCCACGACGACCACGGCCTGTGACCGTGAGGCCGCTGTCAGCTGCCTGTAGAAGGCCTCGTCAACTTCCTCACCCTGATCCGGTGGCCTGTAACAGACCCCCACAACAGTATCGCCCCTGCCAGCCTGCCCCTTAATTCTCACCCACAGACTCTCAACTCGCTCATCATCTGTCCCCGGACAGAACTCAACGCACTGTAGCTGCTGTCGCACATAAAGAGCAACCCCACCACCCCGCCTGGCTGGCCTGTCTTTCCTGAAAAGGACATAGCCCTCCATGACTATATTCCAGTCATGTGAGCTGTCCCACCACGTCTCTGTAATTGCCACCAGATCATAATCTCCCGACTTAACACAGGTTTCTAGCTCCTCCCGCTTATTTCCCATGCTGCGCGCATTGGCGTACAGACATTTCAGGGAGCGAGCCGAGCACACCGATTTCACCCTAGGATTACAGGAGGCCTCCCAGTCTTCATCAATTCCGGAGCGCTGTCCCACTGAGGCAAGCCCAGCTACAACCCCATCCCCCTTCAAATCTAGTTTAAAGCTCTCCAAATGAGCCCTGCTAATTCGTGCCCCAGCATCCTTTTACCTCTGTGCGATAAACCTTTCCCACATGCCAATGTCCAGGCCGGTGCCCTATAAAACCAGCCGTTATCAAAGAATCCAAAGCCCTGCCTGGAGCACCAGCCTCGAAGCCAATCGTTTATGGACTGCATTTTCCCATTCAGTCCCACATCATCAACAGAAGATGGAAGGAGCGAAGAGAAGATCACCTGAGCCCCAGAGTCTTTCACCATCCGCCCCAAGGCCCTGTAGTCTTTCTTCATCTCCCTTGCAGGAAGCAACTTCCCCCTCACCCGTCTGGAAGACCAGCAGCGGGTAGTAGTCTGTCGGGCGCACCAGGTTGGGGAGCGCCCTTGTGATATCCCTGATCCGGGCTCCAGGCAGACTACACACTTCCCTATGATGAGGGTCAACTCTGCATATCGGGCCCTCTGTTCCTGTCAGAATGGAATCACCCACTACAATGACCCTTCTTTCTTTCTTACCAGAGGCAGTCTTGAGGTGCGAAGTCAACTGCTTCGCATGCTTAACATTTCATTAAAATGTTAAGTAAATATAGTGTGCTACGAGTTAGAGCAATTACAGTGTAGGCTCAAGTTCTTTTCTAACAAATAAATAACAACAGACTACCTGACTACCTTAGTACTACTTGTTCCTCACTTCCTTTCTTTTGAACAGAAATAAGCATTGCTACTTGACCTGCTAAGTAATTTTAAACATTGCCTAGTCAGTCAGGTTCCTTAGGCAAGATAAAAGTGAGAGTAATCTTGTTTGTAGAGGGCAACAGGCTTTATCTAGGTCACAATGTTAACTCTTCTCAGCTCCAGTGGGAACAACTAGAAGAGAAACTCAGGTGCACCCTGAATTTAATGTTGGAAGTATTAGGCCTCTTTAGCTGAAGAGGCTCAGGATAGAATTTTGGGGAATAAAAACTTTGGAGTTAGGTGCTTTTATTCTTTATGCCAGAAAGAAGAAGGATGTATCATTCAGATTATTCAGATGAGACAAGGAAATAATTGCTACAAGTATTCAATTATTAGCAATAATTTCTGAACACTTCTGATGGGTTTAATTACAAATTTAAGTAGTTAGTGTGCCAAGTTACAAATGAAACATCCTTTAGCTTTGATAAGCACTTTATAATATAAAATAGCTTGTGCAGCGACAACTTGTGATTTCAATCTAGTAGTTTTTAGAAAGTATTTAAATTATGAACTTCAAAGGTCACAGAGAAAAACCCTGATCTTTAGAAACATTTATGTTGTTATAAACTGCATCAATTATAATATTACTGCATGCATATTAAAAGTTTTTTTTAAAGGTATTACCTGTAAGGCCTCCTGTTTATTACAGAATTCATTATCATCAGGTGTTTTAATGAGGTAGCAATGGTTACAACACTTCTTGAGTTCCATCATGATGTTCAAAAATCCTGAGGTACTGCCTTTTGAACCTTTACTCAGGGCTTTATAATTCCTGGTTAAAATCCACCTATGATATAGAATGTGCAATGAAAGTAATTTCTAACCATTTGTGGAAATATGAAGGATGTAAGCTCTCAAAATACCAGTTCAAATTGCATTATGAGAACTATTACACTTCAGAAATTTTCATATAGATATATCATTAAAATTACAGGAATTAAAAAGTGTCATTACTTACTTGTAATATTGCTTCTGTAATGCACTCATTTCCACCCTCAAAATCTGTTCAACCTTGGCAGGTAAAGATTTTTCTACATCTTTTTTAACTCTTCTGAGTAGAAATGGTTCAAGTTCTCTGTGAAGACTTGCATAACCAAACTCTCTCCCTTTGCCATGCTCCTCTTCAAAATCTTCCCAGGAAGAAAACCTTCAACATAAGAAAGAATAAAGGTAAAATAGTGACATACCATGAACATCATAGACACACAAAGACCATAAATATACCACATGTGCACAAACACATATGGACTTCTTCCCCACACCCCTGTTTTATTTAATAAGTTTGTGAATTTGCATCTCACAAGAAATTCCAAATATTTTGCATGCAAATAGGAGAATGGAAATTTCCAAAATTTTGCAGAATTCAAAACAAACTACTGGATTTTAACTTCTCCAGCGAAAACCCAACATTTTACTTTTCTGCATGGTAGAAGGTTGCAGAAATTCCATTATATTTCTCAAGATCAGCATGAAAAATTAGTTGCATAGCTGGAGGAAGTGCAAGAGAACAGACCGCATACCTTTTGCAGCTTGTATGGACTAGATGAAATGTAATTATTCTCCGACATGTGCTAACAGACTAAGACAATGGACTTTGCGATCAAATTAAGAATAGGTGCCAGACAACAGATTTAGTGGCCTTGCTTGTAAGGTTCTGAAGAAGTCATTGCAATGCATAACTCCAAAACTAAATGGAACTACAGTGCTATGTATTTACAAGCTATCCAAAAGGAACATGTGCTCTTATTTATCTCAGATATAAACAGAGGCCAGTGTAGAGTAACATCAATACAATAAACCTATACTATGCAAACTATAAGGGCAAATTCACTGCCTGACTGAATTACTGGATATGGGCAGTGTAGTGCAATCTCGTTTTCACTCATGGTACTAAGAAAAGAAGACATTCCCAGCCCTATTCTATTTCCCTAGAGTAAATCCATGTGAGTTTCCTTTTAGATTAAGGTTAAATGTCTTTTCAGGTTTGAGTCATGCATCAATCCTTTTTTTGTTTGTTTGGTTGGGTTTTTTTTGTTTTCTTTTTGGGGACTGCTAAAACAGAAAAAGTGACAGCTGCTACCAAAAAAATGAAAAATGTGTGCAACTATTTTATATAAAATATTTAAACTATTTCACAATGCAGTTCTTTATGTCTGTTAACAGATTATCCAATCATTACAATATTCCACTGTAAGAAACGACCACACACATAAAAAAGTTTCACATTCCTTACTTTTCTGGCATGATGAAGTGCAGCAAAGACCAAAGCTCTCTGAGGGAGTTTTGTAGAGGGGTTCCAGTAATAAGAAGACGATGATTAGACTTAAAGTCTATTAAAGTCTTATACAGAAGGGAATCATCATTTTTTAAACGATGAGCTTCGTCAACTCCTATAAATACCCAATTCAGACCACCAAGGAATGACTTAAAGAAATTGGGGGTGGGGGGGAAACATTACACAAGTTAATATATTATGCAGTTTCTGGTATTTTACATGAGGTTATATATACACCATCACTCCTTTTATTTTAATAATGAACGGACACATGTTTTTAGTATTAATTACGGTTTTTATGTTTGCTAGATTCAACAAAAGGCTATGCAGGCATCCCATGTTTATACTTGGGGGGGAGGAGGTAGGCAAAAAGCTGATCTATACATTTCCAATTGACAAAAGAAAAAAAATTAAAAAAAATCCACCATTAACTATCTTCTTTCCAGCATGTATGAACAAATGAAATAAAAAGCCAACAAGCAACTTTTTAAATTAAAATTTTCATATGCTGTTAGGATTAACAATAACTCTATGTGCTACTATCATGAAGAGAGTAGTAATATACATAATACTTCACACGCAAATACAAAGATAAAACATGGGATTTCAGAGTTGTGAATCACAGGTGTTTGGGGATAGGGGTTGGTTTGATTTTTCAGTTCCAGGGTGATGGCCTAACAGAGAAGTAGAGATTTTGAGATGCAAAGAAATTACAGCAACGTGAAGCTCAAGCAAACTGAAAAAAAAAAAAAAAAAGTTTAACCCACTTGATATGGGGGGGGGGAGGGGGCAGAAAGCCTCAATTTATATACATGAAATCTAGAAGTGCTTAAAGAAAACTTCACTGTCATATTTCCAAGAGTAAAGTTGTCATACTCCCCATCCATTTAATGGCCCAGAACCCAAATATGTGCCAACTCTAAAGGAGTTTTACATTCTACAAATTATTTTATCTCCCTGAAGATGTGTGATTACCTTATCCTTCAGCAAAATTTCATAAGTTGTTAGAAGTATATTAAATTTTAATCGTTTTGTCTGTGGATGCATCCATTCATGAGTTCTTATCTACAAGAAAAATCGAATGAACTATAAGGTAGAGAAAAATGGTCTTATTGATCAGTATGACTTCAGGTACTACAGCAATATAGATGTTAAGTGACATATAAGAATCTCATCACAAAAAAGGAACAACACATGAAGCTTAAAAAAAAGTTATTAAACAGTGGTGGGGGGGGTTTGTTGCTTTTTGTTTAGTTAGGTTTTTTGTGGATTTTATCTGTGCGTGTTTCAGGGGTTTTTTTGTGGGTTTTTTTTGGGGGGGGTTGGTGGTTTTTTTTCAACCTTTAATGGATAAGGTTACTTAGATTCTTCCTTTCAGAAAACAAATTAAGATTGTCTGTCTGGATTAAATATTTATTTTATGCACCTAAATAATCACATGACAAAAGACAATTCATTTTCAAATGCAAGGTCGCATTTTTAATTCTTTTTATTATCAAGCAGGAATGGATTTTTTCACATACATTTATATCAGCTCAAAATTTATGTTTTTAATTTGCATTTTTAACACATACAGTGTTTGAAATGAGTATTTGCTCATTCCTAATCAAAATATTGGAGATTAGCATAATACAGGAACATGAAGTATGCCTTGTTTACCACTAATCTTTTTCAATGATACAAAGAAATACTCACCATATTTCTGCTAATTATATCTCCTAAGTAAACAACAGCATTCATCTGAGGAGCCCAAGTTTGAATCTCTCTTTGCCAAGATGTCAAGGTAGAAAGTGGCACGACTAGCAAGAAAGGCCCATACAGTTGGTGTTCGTGAAACAGGTAGTTCAGAAAAGAAATTGTTTGTACTGTTTTACCCAGACCCATTTCATCTGCAAGAATACAACTATTCCCTCTAAAAACAAACAAACAAACAAACAAACAATTTATAAATGCTTTCAAATTCAAAACAGCAAGACTAATTGAAGACTATACTTACTTGCACCATGAATGAGCAAGCCAGTTTAGTCCATTTAACTGATAATCTCTTAACTCTAAACTCTCATGTCCTCCAATATAAGATGGTTGCTTCTTTAGTGCAGCAAACCTTGGCCTCTGTTTTAGAATCTGTCAAAAGCAAACTGAACATCATTCCTACTACTAGGTGAAGTTACGCAACATGTCTTATAGAAACAAAGCAGCAGTAGGAATCTGTTTGGTCACCAAGTCTAGACTTTATTAATCACAACTAGACCATATAAAAATATCAACCCATTTGCAAGCTAAAATTAGCTTGACTGCCAATCTAAATTCCACAACAGAAGTGACATGAACGCATTCACAAAGGTTAGTTTTAAAACAAATTGAGGTACTAAACAATTCTATCTGTTAACGGCAATAAAATAAGCAGGAAACAAATATCTACAAAAGACTACTCTTAATAATGATATTTGCAACATATATAACTATAGCTATCATTATTACTGTTCTGGACAACATTCAGAAAATATTTTATCTTGTACATCTTTTTTAATGCATTAAATATGTCAACCTTTTTTAATTATTATTGCAACTGCATAAATCCATTGAAATTACACACTCACCTTGAAGTCCTTAAATGGAGTAGTCTTGGATAGATTTCTGCTAAAATACTCATCAATACACATCTGAAATTTTTTGGCAATGAGAGCACCATCTTCCCAGCTACATTCTGAGTAAGGCAGACCCTGCCATTTGCAATAGTAATCTGGATAACCAGCTTCTGATTTCTGATTTGAATGAGCTGCAGAAATGCATCAGAGATACCAGATCAATATTTTCCTTCTGTATTTTAAGAAAGCTCTCATTTTAGGTGATACATGAACTAGTTTCACAGCAAAGACAGTAAGACAACTTTTCTTTTCATCAGAGATTTTGTTTCGCCTTAAGTTTTTAGGGATATTAATAACCTAAATTTCTTAACAACATGCAAGCTATAAATTTGTAATATTCTCAACACTTTTCCATCTGGAAGTTTGTCACATACCAATTATCCTTTCCACTATTTGATACTGTTTATGTAGATCATCTGTAAGTTCCTGCTGGCAGTTATAATATTCCACGTCTTCTGGAGAAGCATTTTTCAGCCTGAAATGGGAATTTATTTGTAGCACTTATTACATTGTGTATCTCTAAAACTAAGAAAATCTGGCAATTTTAAAGCTCTGAACATAGCACCGTAGGAATGCTGCTTAGAGAGCTTCTTTGAAGAAAGCACAACTCTGAAATTCCTGTATCTGGCCTAGGTACCTCACCACTGATGAGTGAGAAAGCTTATCAAAAGACATTGCTATCAGCTACACCTTGTACTAGTCATACAGTTAATTTACAATATCTATTCTCAACACTGAGTAATGTTTTTCACATGGCATTTTTACAGAACATCACTGATGGCTCACTGTAAAAATCTATCTTATAAGTAGGAATCACTAAAAAGCCCACTATTCATAGATTATATATTATACATACTAATAAAATACGATCCTAAAACACAGCACTAAAACTTAAGGATTTTTTTGACTCCTTGGTTCTGAGGCTTTAACAGAAGTTTGAGCCAAGAAAACTAAATGCTGTAATGTTTTGAGTGCTTTAACCATTTCTGTTTGGTTTTCTTTTTTAATCTCTGCAGCAATTCCTGAAGACCTCTGATCAAAATTCAATCAATCAATGATGCAATTAGTAAAAGGTAAGATTTAAAACAAAACCAGAAAACCCGGCACCCATCTTGTTAAAACTTCATTTTTAACAGACACATTAAAATCTAGGTGCAGAAGCTGCTTCCTTAAAGGCCTCATTTTACAAGATGTGTGAGCATTCTCACTTGCTCAAGTAAAGTTTCTATGATCAGAATCATACAGGATCATAAGGTGTTAGGGAAGCTTCAACTTTATAGCTTTTGTCTTCCTGTTGCATAGGCACTTGAAACTATGCCTTCACAAGAGGCGATGGAACTCACAAACCCACAACAAAACATCTATATTACAAAAAATAAGGAGTGAAGAAGTAGTTATAAAAATACTCACCAGCGTTTTGTTTCCAGATCCTTTTTCTTATAGATGTCCAGTTTCTTCATTCCTTTAACATTTTGTTGCTTTAGTGTTTCTTCAGTTTCCCAAGTATTATGGATGTGTGACCAACCTTTCCATTTAATAAGATACTGTACTTCTCCTAGCTCCTTTGACTTTTCAAACCCAGTATTTGGGTCACCATCTGCCTCAACAGCATAGATGGTGGTTGCAGCACCAGTGGCTGGTAAAGAAAACACACCATAAGGCTTGAATAAGCGTGCACTGCAATAAATTAATCAGTAAAAAACATACCACAGAAAGCAATTTGTGACAATCTTATATGAGCATGTAACTTGAGAAATTATATCTACAGCTCTTATGTTATTCCTCTTATTTGAATAATTATGATGTAGTTATATTAACACATGCACAATGAGATAAAAAAAACAAACCAAAACACTCTGCATCTAACCTATAGTATATCATTTAATGATAATTTTCTTAGTGTTCCTAGTTTTTCTAGTGATTCACAGAGAATGCTCCACTAACACTGCTAGCTGTCATCTTTGCTATATGAGAATAAAACAGATATTTGACATTGTGCTTAATCAGGCTTGAGACTTGAAACACTATTCAATCATTACTATGCATGCTATAAATCCAATTCACAGAACTGAAGAATGACTGAGGTTGGATAGGACCTCTGGAGGTCATATGCTCCAACCTCCATGCTCAAACAAGGTCACCTAGAGCCAGTTGCCCAGGACCATCTCCAGATGGCTCTTGAATATCTCCAGGGAAGGAAACTCCACCACCTCTTTGGACAAACTATTCCAGTGCTTATTCACCCTCATGGTCAAAAAAAAGTCTTTCCTTATGTTCAGATGGAACCTCCTGTGTTTTAGTTTGTGCCCACTCCCTCTTGTCCTGTCACTGGACACCAATGGAAAGAGCCTGGCTTTGCCTTCTTTGAACCCTCCCTTCAGGTATTTATATACATGAATGATCTCTCCTCCTTGAGCCTTCTCTTCTCTGTCCCAGCTCTCTCAGCTTTTCCTCATAGGAGAGATGTTCCAGTCCCTTGATCATCTTTGTGGCCCTTTGTTGGGCTCTCTCCAGTAGTGCCATCAGTCTCTTATACCAGGAAGCCCAATACTGGGCACAGTATTCCAGATGCAGCCTCCCCAGCAGTGAGCAGAAGGGAAAGATCACCTTCCTTGACCTGCAGGCAATACTTTGCCTAATGCAGCCCAGGATACCATTAGCCTTCTTTGTATCAAGGGCACATTACTGGCTCATGTTGTAAAGAATACGAGAATGATTTGTGTCAAGAACTTAGGAATCATTGTTAGCAATGCACTTGTGACCAGTGTACCATGTATAATAAATGTTGCTATCAATGTAATGATGGGAAAGAAGAAGAAACAATGGAATAGACTAGTCCCTACTTTAATCATTTTGACTGTTAATATTATAAGGGTGCTTTATGGCTTTGTTTTACTGCTTGAGTGCTTTAAGGAAGGGGTTGGGTAAAAGTTTCTCAACCGGAGACAAGACCCCAGCAACCAAGGAAGAACAATAGAAAGGAGCCATGTCGACAGGATTGGCTGAGACCCATGACCACAAAGTATAAAAGACTGAACCCCAAAGAACCCAGTTTGAGTCGTTGGCGGAGCAGAGACTCCCCAGAGCACCCAGCGCTGCTTGCTTACTGCCTCTCGATATTAATCAACTGTAATAAAATAACTAAACCAGATCATGGTTAAGACGAATTTTTATGACAAAAATGTGTGACCCCGATATGATCTCTGTGTGGTTGCTTGGGACTGTAGCACTTACGAGGAGGCGCCCCACAATTTGTGGCTCGTGAGTTCTAGTCCCGGGCAGTCTCGTGAGATCAATGCGAAGCCGGTATGTGCATGTATGTAAGACGCAACAAGGTTGCGTGGTTTTCCTCTAACCGTGGTTTCAGTGAAGAAACCAGTCGGTGAAGAGACGGAGTGTATGGTGAGACACGGACCAGGGTATCAGGATCTGTGAAGTGAGTGTGGACCTCTTCTAAGCGTGTTTCCAATCTCCCATGAGGGACTTGTCCACTGAAGGAGGGAAGTGATAGTGATTGACTGAGAGGAAGCACACCCGGCGGGAAATGGGTCAGAGTAGGAGTTGTAACTCTAACCCAGGAAGGGGCCCATGGAGAGGTCCCAGGTAGGGGCCCATGGAGAGGTCCCAGGAATAAGGTAGGGAGCTAATCACCAGATATACCCCCCAGACAGTCCCTTGGGGTTAATACTTAAGTACTGGGGCTCTTGGCCATCCCAGGAGGAAAAGAGTAAGGAAAAAAAAAGGTCCATTACTGTATGGAAGTGTGGACCAAAGAGGAAATTCAGCCTGACCATTTATAATGGCCAGTATTTGGGTGTTTTGATGATTGGATTTGTCAGGCTTTAAATCTATATGTAAATGGTAAGGCACCTTTCAATCAAGAGGAGTGTCTATTTTGTGGCTTGTTATAGTGATGATTTTGGTCTTGTGATTTTGGTATTGGTGACAGACTTTTATAACTGTTAATTGTTAGTTTGATACGATTTTTGTCTCTGTCTCAAGTGTTTTAACTGTGTGGAGTGTGTCTGTGGGATCCCGTGTGTGTGTGAATGTGAGACTGATAATGGGAAATTGGCAGAGTGAAGAGATCTTGAAAAAGAGTCCTTTAGGGTGCATTTTGGAACACTGGAAAGAACTGGGAGGGTTTCCTGGAGGCTCGGTAAAGAAGAAAATGTTGATAAAACATTGTAACCAATTGTGGCCTTTATATACTTTGGAAGATCAGGAGAAATGGCCTAAAAATGGAATTCTGAATTATAATACAATTAACGTTGGTTTTGAGGTGGTCAGGAAAATGGGATGAAGTGATGTATGCAGATACATTTATCACTTTAAGAAACCACCTGGAGTGGCACACAGAATGTGAAATTAATACGCTCTAATTTTGGCTTTGGAAAAAGACAGGGAAAAACAGAAACCTAAGCTGGAGAGATGTTGTTCAGCTGTGATATTGGGGAAATGATGTTTAAAAGTTAAAAAAAAAAAACCAAAAACAACAAAAAACCCAACCAAACAAAAAACCCCCACAAAACAGTAATCAGGAAAATAAATAGGAAAATGATAATATCATGGGTACCTCCAAGAGGTGCATCCTCTATATCTGTCCTATCAGATATTGATAAGGAGGAGGATATTGCTGTCACTGGCAACAAGCAGCACATTCACATTCAGAGGTAAGAAAGGGTTAAACCAGAAGTGCTGCTGCAGAGGCAGACATCTGCAACCCCTGCAGAGCAAGGTGGGCAACCGTCACAAAAAAAAAAAGAAACAGAAAAAAAATAGGAAAACCAAGGGAGTGTGCTCCTCTTCTGTGGAGCCGGATCAGTGTGCGTGTGTGGAAGCGTGGTTAGCAGACAAGGGTTACGTTCCCATGGCTGAACTTGGCCAGGGACCGGTTTTGTAAAAATCAGTAAGAAACCCAGCTTGGTAAAACATCAGCTGTGCAAAAGGATAAGCTGACCTTGTAGTTAAAGAGTATCCTGAAGGGAGGAACAAGGATGTTAGAAGAAGGGATGTAACCACAGGAGTTTCCCAAGAATGTGTGTGTGTAGCAATCTAGCTCTATATATACCCTAGGTTTAAGCAGAATAAACGGATCACTTTATCAATCATATTGATTGTGCTGTGTTCCCTCCGCATCGCGATGACATAGAGTCTCCAACAAATTGGCACCTGAACAAGGGACTTAGACCCAGGCGAGACAAAGAAACCCAGGTACCTGTAGAGGCTGGGGTCAACGCGAGCGGAGCGAGGAAGCACCGGAAAAGCAGCATCCGGAGGGTCAAAGGCACTGATCTTGCTGGACAAGAGTACCGAGTCGCCTCGAGGACCTGGAGGAGAGAAGCCAGGTCACCGGTAGAGGATCCTCTGCCATCGCCGCCGGCTAATTTGGCTGTCTGCGGGGTAAGCTGCATTGGCGTCAAAGCTGTGTAACTCGTGAAGAATATAAAAAGCTGTGAAAGAATATAAAAAGGTCTGTAAAGCTCTGTAAAGCTGCGTAAAGCTGTGTAACTTGTGAAGAATAGCCAAATCTGTGTAATTTGTGAAGAATATAGAAATGGATATGGAAAGACAGGCAGCCTATGATTTATTTAAGTGCTTCTTAGAGAAGTGAGGTATAGGGAAAGAAATAGACTTAGGGAAAGAGTTTACCGCCCTTCTCGATTATGCACCGCAGAAGCCTCCTCAGCATAAGGGGGAAGATAAAGTGAAACAGTGCCTGCGTCCGAAAGTACAAGTAGAAAGTGCAAATGCAGTCACCTTTGA